GGCTGTGCCTGACCGTGCCTGGAATTACTCGGCGTTGCAGTATTAGGGAAAAGTCTGTAGCGGAATATAGTAACGCCCCACACATGCAGCCCACCGTTGACACCACTGACACCGACCCCGGTCTGCCAGCGCAGCTGCTCGGTGATGGAGCAGAGGTTGGGTGGGGGAGTGAGCCTGTGAGCCTGCCAGCCCGTGACCGAGAGTGAGCCCATTGGTAGAGCGGTGAGCAAGCCATTGTCGATCAGGGCCTCTCCCATCTTTCCACATCTGGCGGGCATGGCTGTATTCAACAATGCATCCGGCACGGCCGGCACGCTCCACTCTACGAGGGTCGGGTGATGATTCGCGGGGACTCCAGCAGTATTACAGGTGCAAGCCATTCCGGGTGGGCAGGCGCCAGGAAGTGTCAGGACGACGATGATCCGAGTGCCAGCCAGGCACCGGACCGAAGTCGTCAACCGCGTGTAAGCGTCCAAACTTTATGCGAGATTATTCCGCACGCGTCCGACATGACGCACGAGCGCGTCAGTGGGCGACGTTGCTGCCGCTTTCTTATCACTCAATCTTGGCTCCAAAGCCGACGTCTGGACTGGCTCAACGTCCATCGACAATGGTCAGCACACGATCAAGAACGTACCCGCCAACAGACGCCGTCGCTGCGACAAGTGCGCGGACGACGACTGCTCAGGTGACTTTTTACACTGGGTCGTGTGCTCACTCCACAGCCGCCGACGGAGAAGAAAAACGCAGCGGGGCCCTCACAAACAGCCTCTGGGGCTGCTCCTCGGCGTTCCAGCAGACGGCCACGATCTCCCTCTAAGCAATATGCGGCTCCCGTCCCAGAACAACCTTCAAAACGACCACGAACGCAATCGCCAGCCCGAGAAGACGCCGGGCCCTCCTCCCCACCGGCACGTCATCGTGCACCGAGGCGTCGACAGGTGTTCCCTTTCGACGAGTCTGACTCTCCTCCACCGTCACCTTCAGCGCCCTCCGGCTCTTCCCTCCCGCTCTCACATCAGGTCGAGACGAATCAGAAGATCAAACGGCTGGAAGCCAAGGTCAAGGTCCTCGAGCGCGAGGCGCGATATCACGAAGAAATGTCCAAGCGCTGGGAGAAGCTCAGTTCCCATCTGCTCCACGAGCGGGAGGGCGAGGATGGATACGTGCACAAGCTGAAACGGCGCGGCGACACGTACAAGAAGGCGTACCTCGAAGAAAAGGAAGAATCGCGAAGGATGGTGGAGGCTACCAAGTACGGCATAATCTGTGTGAAGAAGGCCCTGGAGAAGAACCCCGATCATATACTGCGAGGCACTCTCAAGGTGTTGGAGATGTCGCTCCCTTACGATGAGGCCGAGTAGCCGCAACTTTCATACAATACCTGTTCACATTGTTGTATTCATATCACTTCTTCTCCGCACGAGCGATCTGCAGCTCCAGCAGCAAGCTATCATTGGTTCTCCGCAGCTGCTCAATTGTCTCTAGGTGCCGCGCATTCTGACGCTGTAGTTCCTCCACCGTGCCATGGCCACGCTCCGGCCCGACGGCTTGCTGCTCTGTTGCCAGGTGATGGGGAGTAAGGTGTGCGGGTTCCAGGCTTCCAGCTTGACTTGACCCAGGGGCTTGACGCCTCGACGGACCGGGCTGATCCGGATACTCGGGCAACGACTTGGCCACCGTTGGCGCTCCGTACGGGAGGAAAGTTGAAGCGGTAGTAGTAGGGAGCGCAAGCGCGGTGACCGAGTGTGAGGGAAAGTCCTCCCGCTGTCGGAAGTTGCACCGATCCGGATGCCCATCTGCAAGGTAGCAGCTCCAGTAGTACCCCCCACATTGAGCCGTCGCAGAGTTTCGAACTTGCATGCGGGCGGCTAGTTGCCCGTGCTGTGTGTTAGCTCAACGTCGGGGAATCAGGGGCCGTATTCACATTGCACTTGAGAGGCGGTCGCTCGCCGATACCTTCCATAGCCGCGACAGCAACTTGAGCGGGTCGAGCTTTCTTCCTTTTCCTTTTCAGAAGGGCAAGAGGAACATCGGGGTCGTCTGTGTCACTTGTCGTGCTGCTGCGGAGTAGAGAGGCGCTTGCTGCGGTGCGTGAGGGAGCAGCGGTTTGGGTTGGAGATGTCAGATCAATCACCCTAGGCTCGTCGTCGTCGAGGGTGAGGTCAATCTACCGTTATTCACCTATCCGCCTAACATCTTACCATTCCGGTTCTAGTTGGGACAGGCGCGATTGGGGCTGCGACGGGTTGTGACTTGATGGGTCGATCACCCTGCTGTCAGAAGGAAGGTTGGTCCGGAACCCAGCCCCCACTTACCTTCCGTGCGGTAGTAGGCTCTGTGACCCAACTGGGACCCATCTTCAGCACTGGCACCGGGCGGTAGAGTAGAATGCCTTCATAAGCGAAGGGACGATTGTCTGACAAGCCTTAGAAGCCTTAGGTTCGAACTTCAGGCGCAGGTGACCTTGTACGCTTTTCCTAGAGTCAATCAGCGAATGGTCAAGACGATGGCAAAGCCAAAGGAAGGCACTCACGGTCTCCTGGGCTGTGGACAACGCGTCGCACCATCAAGTCAGACTTGTGCGCACTTGAGAAGGCTGAGGGCGAACTGCAAGAATGAGCTTAAGGTTGACCTGTGAGTGTTGAAAGTGTGTAAGCCTGAGAGAGTAGAGTGAGGAAGGTCAGAGTATGGCGAGAGAGTCGCGCCGATCAAACCTCCGTTCTGAATCCGCCTAGCGTCGTGACGAACCTCCGCCCTCCTCTCAGCTCCTCGCTCCTCTCCGGTCTGCAGTCTGTTGGAGATGTCGTCTTAGTTTGTTAAGCAGTCCGAACTAATACATACATACAAGCTATACAACCTACGCTCTCTCCTTCAGCTGAGCCCTGAGCCGTTCGTTCTCGCGCTTCAGCGCATCCCGCTCAGCAATGACGACCAGGTACTGGTTCTCGACGAAGCCGAGGGCTGCCTTCGTAGCCGTGTACTTCTCCTTCCACTCCTCGACAGCGGACTCGGCCTCGGGCAGAATCTCGTCGCGGAGCTGCTGCAGGGCAGCCGCCGTAGCCCGATCCGTCGACTGTGTGTTCGCTCCTTGCGCTGTCTCGGGTGCCGGGGTGTTCCGCATGCTGCCGGAGTCGGGAGTGAGCTTGCGGTCCGCCAGGCTGTGGGGCGGAGATACATCCCTCCGGTCAGCTGTCGCCGGAGCAGGCGCGGGCGCAGCGTCTCGCCCACCCAGATCGGTTGAGCTTCGGGACCCCGCGGCCGCCTCATCTTCCCACACCCAGAACCCGCATCCCGGTCGTTGAGCGCAGGCGTGGTACCATCTGCCTCTGAACTTCCCGAACGCTCTACACGTTCGCTTGGCGAGGATATCGTGCTGGTGTCAGCTTCATGCACATAGCCTCGATTGCTCGATGTCACCTCTCGCGTCAACAGTGCCCAGGGCCGTGCTGTAACATAGCAATCCCATCAAGGTACTCACGCTGCAAAGCAGGTCAAGCTTCTTGCTGTATTCGTACGGCTTCGTCGGCAGGTGAGTTGCGTGGTGCGACCGCGGTGTCGGGTGGCGATGAGCGGTCATCGCGATGCTTATCTCGTGGAGAAGTGTGCGAAGGGAACGTCGTTGCTGCCGTGACTTCGGGATAGGCGAGGTTGATGGCTTGTCAAGATCACCCGGATGCGGGGCTCCGCACCACTGGCTCATTATCGCAATCACCATTCCTTTGTGCCATGCCATGGCGGAGTGAGCTGTACCACGTTTTCACAGGAATCATGCATGTTACGTCCAAACTACCTAGTATCAGGGCTTTATACAATTCTAAGAGCGTCTCCTGTAACGTCTCCTCCGTGCTGCGGCCTATGAGCGAGGGTTGACGTTGCAACAGTTTGTCTGATGGGAGTGCTGGAGACCTCTCTGCCAATCAATTTCCGTACGACTCAAGAATGCAGACGTCTTTTCCGAGCTTGCGTCGCACGTTGACACTCAAATCCTTCACTACCTCAGAGAAAAGAAGTCTGATTCCAGAGAGCGAGCCGTGTGAGAGGGCGGTGGTGTTGCCAATGTCCGAGGCGTATGAGAGGTCAGAGGTATCGTAAAAGTCCGAGCCGTGAAAGAGTGCGGGGGTGTTGTTGAAGTCTGGGCCATGTAAGGGGCCGGGGGTCTCACCAAAGTTCGAGATCTGTGAGAGGTCGGAGGTACCGTTAAAGTCCGATCCATGTGAGGGGGCGGGGGAATCATAGAAGTCCGAGCCCTGTGAGGTGACAGAGGCATCTTCGGGGACCGAGGCATCTTCGGGGTCCGAGGCGCTTAAGCCGATAGCAGCATCGTCTATGAGATAATCGTAGTCGTTCTCATAGACCGTAAGCCCAAATTCAATGGACTTCAGCTCAGGGGGCATGTCGTTCTGCATCCAAGCCGGTGTTATCTTCGATGATGGGGGCTGTCCTGAAGCGGGGTCCGGCTTGGGACAATCAAACCGCATGCGCAGTGTCCGCAATGAAGGGAATCGTTCGCTGTCGATGCAGTCCAGTATGGTGTTTGCCGATTGAGTGATATTGTTGAAGTCATCAACCGAGCACATCAGGGTGAGGTCGCGGAGGGACTTGGGGACCACTTGTGCCAGCTGCTCCATTTCTGAAGCCGAGTCAAACTTCCACTTGATTGCACGCGTGGGAATACCTCTCTGTGCCCGATGCCACAGAACTGATCTCCACTCACTACTTTGTCCCGGGAAGTTCCAGATGAACAGCTCATAAGCCGGCAAAAGCAGAACTTCAACCAGATTGACATCATCCCCGGATTTGGTCTTGATCAAGGAGCTGATGTCTGTGTCCACAAGCAAACAGCAGATGTGGTACCAGCAGCGATAGTCCAAGTCTTGAGGCAGGCAACGGTGTTGCGGGGGGCGGATGACACCATCTTCGACCATCAACACTTCTTGGAATACAAGCTCATCCTTGTCGCTCTCGGTGGCACCTTGGGTATAATAGGATGTCCCCGTGCTCGGGAAGTGAACCTTGCGGAGGTTGGGGAAGAGCTGGATTATATCGGCCAAGGAAGCCCATTGAGAGCAAAGCAGTAGGCAGCCTCCCAAGCAGAGGCGTCGAACGCTCGCTGCGTAGACTCTATTGCGCTCCTGCCACGTTAGTGGCGAACGGTCTATGACTCACTTGACAAGGACAGTCGAAAGGGAACTGATCGAGGCGGACATCGGCGTAGAGCAGGAAGGCAACGTCATGAAATGTCGCCTGGTCGATCGTGAGGTACTCCTTCAAAATGGCACGCCGTTTCAAGCCGCAATTGTCCAGCAGGCCGCCCTCGGACCACCACTCGTCGTCGATGAGGAGATGTTCAAAGACTGAAAGACGAATGTGGGGGATTGTCCAGGCGCGATGAGCTGGGGTGCTGGCCCCTTGATGAGGCGGGGAGTTGGCCATGGTGGTGAGGGAATGGCTTGTCAGGCGAATCAGAACTGAGGGCGATGGCAAAGTGTGAGGAAGGAAGGTGGAGGTGGGTATGACTGTGAGACATGGACTGTGCACGTCGGTTGATTCACGCTAGCGGATGCATAAACACGTCTAGGTACATGACAGACCTCTCATAACTGAAGCAGACCTCTACCTGTCGATGAACTTGATCTCTCATGACTTCGTTCATCTCTACATCAGCCCGACTCGCTGATGAGCGAGCTGGAGTCGTCGCTCTCCAGGCTGTCATCGTCCTTATTGGAATCGCATGAGTCACAATGGTGCAACATCTCTGCTTCAGGCAGTGGCGAGTAGAGTAGGGCGTCCAAGTAGGAGTAGTCCTCTCGCTGAAACCTCTTGATTCTGTCTTGACCATGGTACAGCGTCTCCACCACGAGATGGAATTCTTCCCCGAGTTTACGTCTGATGTTGAGTATCAACTCTTTGGGAGCCTCCAGATTGAAGATGAAGGAAATTTCGGGGTGTGCTTCACTGGATACTGTCGAACTAGATTGAGTACGTTAGCTCTGAATCAGGAGTGTTGTAGACCAGGGTAAGCTCGATATCTCGAAGTTTCGACGGTAGATCATTGTTCAACCATCTGGGGATAGTGTCGGGTTGAGCTGAAGTCAACCCCACCGGTAACAATAATGAGTCCCCTGGAAAATCGATACGCAGATTGAGGTGTTCTAGCTCGGGAAGTCGATTGTTGTCGACATAGTTCATCACCGCGTTCGCTGAGGTGTTTACTTCTTCGAACTCTTCACACGGAAACAGCAGAGTCAGGGACTGCAAATCGCGAGGCATCGCCTCGAACAAACTCTCCAGCTCCTCCAGGCTACTCAGTCGCCAATCGAGTTGTTGAGTGAGAATGTTCTGTTGCGTTCGATGTTGCAACATCGATATCCATGCACTGTTGTCGCCCCTCTGATCCCAGATGAGCAGCTGCCATGCGGGCAGAGCCAGCACTTCTGCAAGAACTGGCAGTCCATTCACGTCCTGCGCGAACAGCGCAGTCTCTTGTGTGTCGACCCCGTAACAGTCCACAGAGTACAGGCACTGATACACCAAATCCTCTGGCAAGTCACGATCTGCTGCTGCGCAAACAGCTCCAGCGGTGGACTTCACCTGCTCCGTCAACAGAAGCCGATCAACGCCCTGGCCGCGGCGGGATCGAACTTCGTAATGAGTTCCTGTAGCGGGAAATGAGATGAACGTAACGTTGGGAAAGAACTGGATCATGTTTGCCAGAGATCCCCAACGATAGCACAAAGGCAACGAGCCTTCCGTATTGATATGGCGTACACCCGCAGCATAGACCCTCAGGCGCTCCTGGAGAGTTAGCTTCACGGCTGTATCAGAAGCTGCAACTTACCTGGGACGCACAGTCCCTAGGAAACTGGTCCAACTTGATATCGCTGTACAACAGAAGTGCGACTTCTCGGAATGAAGCTTGATTGAGTGTTAGGTAGGGCCTTAGCAAGTTGCGCTCGGCACTACAAAGTTGATCTTCTTGATCGGGTTCCATCATAGTAAGCGGAAAGTTGTCCCAACAAAGCAGGTACTGGAAGACGGCGAGACGAATATGGGGGATCGACCAGACACGGTGAGCCGATTTACCGGGCACATAAGTAGGGGAGGAACTGGCCATGAGATGAGCGAGATGGTTAATAAACGATTGCGAAGATAACGGTGGGCGCTGGCGAAGTGAAATGCAATGTAGGAAGGAAGACCAGGGAGGGTGAGAACGTGAAACATCCGCCGTGGATTGTCGTGCTCTGGGGGTCGCTTAGTCAACCTGAAGCTCTGAAGACACTCCCCAAAGAGGCACAACAATACGAGAATGCATGGTTATGAGATACAACAAGCCTTTTCTTCCTCGTCAGTCAAGCTACAGCATGCCACGGCCCTCCATATGTCAGGATCCATGCCCCATAGCTTGACCATCGTCCGCTTCCAACATCACCACACTGGCACTTGGTATTCCGCCCGCTCTCGTCATGAACCCATTTGCTATGTTAGGTGCTTGTACGACGTTGGCGCGGACAGTTTCTGCACGTGCGAAACTCGAAGCTTCTTCCGACCCTTCCTCTTCAAGCGCTTGGCAATGTCCTGGCCAACCACAGTTTCCAGTGGTTCTCTGAGAACGGTACGGAGGTAAGATGACTTGGAAGGTTTATATTCGACGAGCTGGTCGTTGTTGTCGTCATGGTCAATGTACTGTGTCTCGACTGTAAAGTCGAAGTCATCGCCGGACTTGGACCGCACAGCGATTATGAATGCCATCGGAGCTTCGGTCTCGAAGACGCACTCGGCGTAGAAGGCGGATGGTTCGTCGCTATCGTAGTCGCTGGTATCAATTCCCCACCGATCCAGCACCAGCACAAGCCGTAGAGAAGAAAGGCGAGGAGGCATAGCCTTTGACAGCCACTTATACCGGGCCCTCGACGTTTCGGGCGCGCCTCCACTGATGCAGGGGAATGTGATGTGTAAAGTGAGCTCTGTGAGGTCTGGGAACCGCTTGCGGTCGATGTGATTCATGATCTCAGTTGCGGTGTGGGCAGTCCTTTTGCCGAGCCTCGAGTGACTTAATATCTGGAGGGTCTGAAGACCTTTGCCGGCCACCTCAGCCAGCGTGTCCAGTTCCTCGAAGGACTTGATTTTCCAATCTATGCGTTGTGTTTCGAGGCCAAGGTTTTTGCCATGTCGTAAAGTCGAGAGCCATTCGTCGTGGCTCTCATCGGTGAAGCCCAACATTGAGATCCTGTGGGCAGGCAGGAGCAGTACCTCTGGCACGATGGGTAACCCGCCGGAATCGTAGTCGAAGTGTTGCGCTGTCCAAGGTTGTTCCGAGCTATCGCTCAGATGGTACCAACATTCGTAGTCCAGGTCCTCTGGAAGAAAGCGCGTCTTAGGTGGGCATACTGTGAACCCTTCGACTGTGATATGTTCCTTCAACCAAAGTCGGTCTCGAGGGCGTTTGGAACGAGCTGAGCGAACACCTTGCGAGTACGCTTCGACCTCAGTTTTGAAGATGATCGCGTTCACGTTCGGAAAGAAATTGAGCATCTCCGCGAGGGAGTTCCAACGGCCGCACAAGGGGAGGCATCCGTTGACCCACAGGGTCCGAACCCCGGCCGCATACAGTCGCATTCGGTCCTACAATCGTCAGTCACACACCGAGAAGAGGGCACTCACCTCACTCGTGCAATGCCACGGAAAGCGGTCCAATGCGATAACGGGATAGAGCAAGATGGCGATATCGCGAAAAGTAGCCCTGTCGAACGTGAGGAATTGCAGAAGCGTTTTCCTCATCACCAGCAGACGTTGGCTACGATCTTCCGCTTCCTCGGCGGCATCGTCGGCCAGATGCATGAAGACGGACAGGCGGACGTGGGGAAGAAACCAGACACGCTGCGCCGCTGTGGCCCCGTCGAGCACGGGACCTGAGCCGTTCATGGCGCAAGGATGATTGTTTGGGACGCAGTGTCGATAGTGAATAAACAGGAAGACAGGAGGAGGAAAGGCAGTAGCTGGTCTCTTAGAACACTGGTTGTGAAACACCCGTCAGTGTCAGCATGACTCTTGAGCGACCTCTGGGGTCCCGGATCGTCACCCTTGAGAGGGAACGGTGATGCGTGGTACAATGCGCCGAATCTTCACCGCCCCAACGTTCTTCGATTACTGCCGGCTGTGCTGTCCGTCGTTGTCACTGGCCCAAAATGCATTCGACCCGGGGAGGGATACGATCAATCGGAACTGGGATAACCATCGCTTTCCATGTACACATCCTCTGCACTGGCGTCCTCGTCCTGTTCTTCATCCTGCGAGCCGTACTCATCATAGCACAGCTCCTCACTTCCCGACCTCGATTCGTCGTCGTCGTCCTGAGCACTAGCCCCTTCGTCGTCATACCCCAAACCGTACTCATCGTAACGAGACTCCTCGCTTCCTCCCATCGACTCGTCGTCTTCGATTTCGTCTACCGACTCTCCAGCTTCAGATTGGGCGCTAGACCCCCCCTCCCCCGACTCTGATCCTGGCCCATCTTCGAGATCAGATTCGTAGTCGTCTTCACTGGACAGATCACTGCTGGAGCTTGACGTATCACCCCTTGCAACCGACAGAGGTTCGTAGCAGGAAGTCGACGAAAGACGAATTGGAACGGGCGTAGTCGACGAGGCTATTGTCATCGTGATACTCGGTGTTGACCAAAAAGCTGAAATCTTCTCCGAACTTTGTGCGAACGTCTATGATGAATTTCCTGGGTGCTCGCTCCTCGAAGACGTACTCGACATACTCCAACGGCATGAGTCCCTCAGTTTCATCTACCAGCCAAGTGTCCAGGACCAGGTCGAGCTGGATTGACGAAAGCTGAGGGGGCATGTCTCTGGACAGCCATTCGGGAGCAACTGGTGGCATGGGGGGAGCAGTCGGACTTGGGAAGTCGATGTGCAGCGTGAGGGTCCTGAGATCAGGAAACCGTGCCGCGTCAATCTGGTTCATGATAGCAGTGGCCGTCTGGGAGGCATCTTCGAATACCTCTGCGTAACACGAAACTTCGAGCTCCTGAAGACCTACGCCTGCCACCTTAGATAGCGTGTCCAGCTGCTCAAAGGTGGCAATCCTCCAGTGGATGCTGTAAGTTTTGATACCCAGGGCTTTGCGGTGTCGCAGAACGTGAAACCACTCTGGGTTGCCGCCGTCGATGTTCCAGACTGAGAGGCGATAAGCGGGCAAACGGAGCACATCTGGCAAGATGAGCTCTCCGCGGTCATCACGATCAAATGATGCTGTGCTCCAGTAGTCTGCGAGGACGTCTTCTTCTAGGTGGTACCAACATTCGTAATCCAGACCGTCCGGCAGGTGGCGCACCTTGGGAGAGCAGAATGATGAGCCGTCAAGGCGGATCTTTTCCACCATGCGTAGTTCGTCTGCAGAGCGACCTGGGCTGTCCCTGTGCCTAGCTCGGAGGTAAGAATCTCTGGTGCTGTCGAAGAAAACGCTGCGCACGTTGGGGAAAAACTCGAGCATCTTAGCCAAGGAGCTCCAGCGGGAGCACATTGGCAAGCAGCCGCGGGCCCGGATCACGCGAACGCCAGCGGCGTACAGTCTCGTACGTTCCTGATGTCAGTGGACAGCATCAGTAATGGCTCACCTCACATATACAGCCCCACGGGAAGTCGTCCAAATATATCTCTGGGTAGAGCATGAAGGCGACGTCGCGAAAGGTCGCTCTATTCAGCGTAAGGTAATCGAGCAAAGCCGCCTTCTCCTTTTTCGCGAAAAGTTGGAAGCTTTCGGCAGCGTACGCGGCATTGGACGCCAGGTTCTCCAGGATAGACAAGCGGATATGGGGTATGTACCAGGCGCGGCTGGCAGCTGTTTCTGGCTCGACACTTGAGAGAGTCGAGTCGCTCATGTCGGCGAGGAATGCGTGTTGGCAATGTTCAAAGTTGACAAGAGGTGAGGTGTAGAACGATGACACGATAGACTTGCGTTGGAGGCGTCAAGTGAGCAGACGATGAAACACCCGTCAACAAGGTGCAGTTGACTCAACTCGCGGGTCCAGATCTGCGCCCTTGTACGCGCTGTCTCTCCGTCCCGTTGACCTTGTTTAACGTCGCGAAGCGTTGCTGAATGCCTGTGCTGAGTCTACTCTCTCTTCGCAGGGAGACACCATCAGGAGCGGCTTAGCCTCCAACATCATAATGCTCACAACAGTGCATGCCTGCAGCTCAGTGGGCTTCAGACGGCCTCCTGCCGACGCCCTCCTACGCCACAGCCTCGTTTACCAATGCCTGCAGCTTTGGCCCTTCGGTCCCATAGTTGGTGATGACGCGCACCGTGATCTCCGAGTCCGGCCCAGTCTCCTCCTTCAAGCGGCGCAACGTCTTTAACGGCAGCCTGTCCTCAGGGAACAGTCCTCTGCTCTCGGGCTGGTTCAGCGTGAAGGTGTACACCGAGAGCTCGATGCGGATCTTCTTCAAGTTTGGCGGGATCGGCTGGGTGAACGGCTCGCCGAAGTCTCCTCCCGGCTCGATGAACACCTCCATCTTCTCAAGATTCGGGTAAGTCTCAGCCGTGAAGACGTCGAACACGGCGCCGAGGTCCATCTCTACCTCATGGAGCCGCACCCATCGCAGATCACTACCCACGGCCCCGCTCAGGACATTGAAGTAATTAACGTACTGCGGCGTGGAACCCGTATCGATACCAAGGATGGGGATGTTGTGGTGCTTGCGGACGCGGAACACGTTGATCCAGAGGTTGGCGTCCATCATGCCGTCTGACGTCTCGAAGCTAAGCCAGCGGATCGGCTGGTCCAGAATCGGTGGCAGCTCCCAATTGGCCAGAACGCGCATGATGTTGGTATCCGGCATGTTGCCAGCCACGAACGTATCCATGTCGAACACGTCCGGTGTCACGATGACATCGTAGTGGTGCGCGTGCGCGAGTTCATCCTGGGAAGGGGCGAAGAACATGTCCCGCGGCAGGTTTGCGGGACTGATCGAAATCCTCGTGATGAAGTTGTGCACGCCGGGCACACAGCATTCGGAGTGTCCAAGGCGGTAAAGCGTCGTGTGTCTGTGATACTTTCGGTCCGTCGGGAAGTCGACCTCGTCCATGTTGGGAAACTGCTTCAGGAGCGCCGCTAGCGTCCAGTCATGGCACATGGGAAGTGCGCCCCCAACGTTCAGCCGTTTAACACCCATCGCATACCAGCGCAGCCGGTCCTGCGATTGCGTCAGTAGATGCGAATACTGCAGACTCCGCCGCTACCCACGCTGTCGGGGCAGTCCCATGGGAACTGGTCGAGGGTGGCGGACGCATGGGTATGCCGAGCGCACTCGCGAACGGAAGCCTTGTCGAGTCTGCTGATACATCGCCGGAAGAACTGAGATTTCTGAACAGGAGAGGTGAACAGCTCGGCGCAGTCGTCGAGAATCGCCTCGCGCAGGTGTCCGATGCCCCAGACTTGGCTCGCGGCCGACTGCTTGCTCTCGGGAGAGTTTGAGAGCTCCATCGTCAGGGTCACCGAAACGGGGTCCTCGGCGTTGCTCTGCGCGTGAACTTAGCGGAGCAGAGTGGAGCAGTGGTTCCAGCCCTTTGCGTAGCGTAGTTGGGACCGTATTACTGGAATTGACGGAGTGAAGAAGATGGCGGTTAGACTTTTGTGAGCAGGAACGTCGAGCGCGCCGGTGGAGGTTGGGTGAGCCGATCTTACGTCACCTAAGGCGGCGATCAGTGCGGTGAGAGGCGTACTCGCGCGGACGCCGTCGTTACTGCTCAACGGCGTCGACACGATCCGAAACGGCGTCGTCGCTGCCTGCATGGTGTGAGTTTCCGCATGGTGAGTTGGGAGTTTGACTAACTGGTCCCACCTGCTGAGAACAGCTGGTAGACTGGCTGCATCAGCACGCAAACATCAGCGATTCGTAGGTCTATTCGGGCTCGCCCGAAGTCCGAGTCCAGGTCTGCCGAATCAGCTCACGCCCGGAACTGTCGCGCCACGCCAGAGTCGAGCCCGCACTGAACGAGAGTTGCCCGAATATAGAATGTCTGTGAGCGCATGACTTTGCTTGTGCGCATCTCGGCGCATTTCTCGGGCCACTTACTCATCGATCCAGCGCAGATCCTCCGTCGTCCATCATCAGCGGCGCCCAAGATTTCGGTTTTGGCTGGGATTACGTCCACGATCTCGGGGCCTACGTACTGGTGATGCGGGGCATGGTGCAAGGGATTGGGTGGCTCTGAGAGAGATCTCATTGACCTCTCTCCGGGCGGGAGGATGCCGGAAGGAGTCGCTCGTGAGCCGCCTATCTCGCAGGAATATCGCTGCAATGAGTCCCCTTGAGTCCCCTTCGCCACCAGAGAAGGACCCGGCTAGGTGCAGCTGATACCCATGAGCACAAGCCACCGGATCATGGCTCCTGGCTTGTGCAGACGAGTTGTCACCATTCGACGAGCGGGAGCGCTCTTCATTGATCGTCATGAGCTGAATACGCCTCCGCATCCCCAGACGGGGCTCTCCGGCTTTGCGCTGCTCAGGCGAGGGCTCCGCCCAACGTGCCTCCGTCCCCGCTATGGATCTGCTGTGTGTACGAAACCTGTGTTGAATGCAAGGGGAGGGGCGAGGCTTGGAGGGTGTGCAGCATGGCCCTCGTTCCGAGAAACGGGCCGTTTATCATGGGACAGGCACCACCAGAACGGTGGCTTGTGGCGTATGAAGTCCTGTGGGTCACCCGACCTGTCTCACTCCTCCACTGGCCGAGGCTCGGTCCATACTCGGGGGATTGGGGGCACCGTCGCCGCGCAATGCCGGGGCTCTCTCTCCATCTGTTGCCCCGCGTCCTCCGAAACCCGGCTAGAACTCTGCATAGGACACCCCATGGGAACGCTTTGCGAGCACTGCTTCCGATGGTAATTGCAGATTTCCGCATTCCGTCTATTGAACAACAGTGGACAGTTCGTGACGACAAAGATGTGGGCAGATGATGTTTAGTATTTCCGAGGTATTGGCGAGTTTCACGCCCATCTCCAGTGGTCCAGGCAGTGGAGTCATGCCTTTCCGCACGTCAACAGCAGCGATAGTCCATGGATTATCCGAGCCGTGCTGGCGGCTCTCGGTGCGGCGTGCTCGTAAGTACGGACGCGTCGCCCGAACTTCGACGCCCCGCGGAGCTGCTAAGGTTGACAGCTAGGCAGACGACCAATCCCGGGCCATTTTTCCCCTATTTTTCCGCTGCCATTCCAACTGCGGATGCCTTCCCTGTACTTGCGAATGCTATTTCTGCGCTATCTCACCCGATCATGCGAAAGATGACACGAGTGACTGGTTGAATCGGTGGGGGACAGCCGGAATGTGCGAAGCGTGAGACAGACAAACAACGGCCGGAGAGCGCAGGGCGGAGCTGCAGGGTACCGCATGAGGAACAAGGACGAGGAACGAGTCACGGGCATGGTGGGCCGTGCGCTCGACGGCTCAGCGGCACAGCGGCACAGCGCGGCTCTGCGCGATTCTGGTTTAGACAGCAATCTCGCCGCGAACGGGTGTGGTTCTGCGCGTCATGCGCGTCAGGCAGCCAGCCCATCAGGAGCCGGCGCCTGGGGGGCTTGGCTGGGCACCATATCTCCCGCAGTCCCGCCGAGGGCCAGGACCACGGCCCAGCAAGGCATCAAGGCTCAGGGCCCGAGGGATCACCTGGGTCCCCACAGCCGCCCATCACATCTCCGCAGGTCAGGTTCGCCTGGCTTTCCCGGGCAAGCCCAGTGTTAACTTTCCGGCCAACCCGTTTTGAATGCAATGCTATAAAGATGCCATCGCTCTCTGCCCCATTCATCGCCGTCCTCCACGCCTCACCAGTCGACGACACTCTCCTCTCCAGCTGCGCGCGGCGCTCCTCGACTTCGCACTCGTTCTTTCAATCTACCCTTGCCTGCCCCCGACAACAACTCATCGCCCAGCATGGTCGCAGCAGGAGCCGCTGGCGCTATTGGCGTTACTGACGGCCTGTCGAGTATTCTGGCCGGCAGGGATATCCGATGGTACAAGGGCCACTACCTCAGGCTCACCATGATCTGTGTAAGTTGACACGCAGAGGCAACAAGAGTAGCGCGCTGATTCATGAACAGCTTCTGATCATCATCACGTCCATGACAAACGGATACGATGGATCCATGATGAATGGTGAGTCAGACTGGGAATGACTGCCCCGCACCACTCTGTGGCGGGCAGGCACACCTCCACACATCATCACGCGACCCCGTCGATCCGTGGCGGAAGACACCTCGCAACTCTATCCTCACAGCCGCTCTCTCAACTGGCACAACCGCAGCATGCTTACACGATCACAGGTCTCCAATCCGTCAAGAACTGGCAGGAGTACTTCAACAGCCCGTCGGGAACAACGCTCAGTTTGTTCAACGCCATCCAGAACATCGGCACGATCGCTGGTCTTCCCTTTGCTCCCTACGTCTCTGACTGGTTTGGCCGTCGCTTCGCTATCGCTTTCGGATGCTGCCTCATGCTTCTCGGCACTGCGCTGCAGACTGCGTGCCAGAACTTTGGCATGTTCATCGCCGCCCGTGGCATCATCGGTTTCGGCCTTTCCTTCTCGTGTCTTGCCTCCCCCGTCCTCATCACCGAGATCGCCTTCCCCACCCACCGTGCTCCCCTCACGTCCATGTACAACTCGACCTGGTACTTGGGCTCAATTGTTGCTGCGTGGACCACCTTCGGAACCTTTAGGATCCAGAACACTTGGTCCTGGCGTATCCCCTCGCTGCTGCAGGGTCTGCCCTCGATCCTCCAGCTTGCTCTGATCTGGACGATTCCTGAGTCGCCCCGTTGGCTCGTTGACCATGGAAAGGTTGAGAAGGCGGCGAACGTTATTGCCAAGTACCACTGCAACGGTGACCGCGAAGACCCTCTCGTTGCCTTCGAGCTCGCCGAGATTGAGGAAAGCATCCGCATCGAGAAGGAGAACCAGACCGGTTGGATCGACATCTTCAAGGGCCGCGGCAACCTCCGCCGTCTCCGCATCATCATTGCCATTGCCTTCTTCTCGCAGTGGTCTGGTAACGGTCTTGTCTCCTACTACCTCGTCCTCGTGCTCAACGGCATCGGTATCCGCTCGCAGGGCCACCAGACTCTGATCAACGGCATCCTCCAGGTCTACAACCTCTTCTGGGCCTACGCTGGAGCCTTGGCTGTCGACCGTCTCGGCCGTCGCTTCCTCTTCCTCACCTCGACTGCGGGAATGTGTCTCTCGTTCGTGTGCTGGACGATCTGTTCCGCTATCTTCCGCCAGAGCTCTACCGTCTTTGACCAAGAGTGCATGACCAAGTACCCTACCAGCTACGAGGACAACTGCACTGCACTGAACGCCAACCACGCTGCGGGCAACGGAGTGCTCGCATTCATCTTCCTCTTCTACGCCTTCTACGACATTGCCATGTCGCCTCTGCTCGTCTCTTACACCGTCGAGATTGTCCCGTTCAAGAACCGCTCCAAGACGCTCATGCTCATGCAGCTCTCGGTCAGCGCCGCCCTCGTCTTCAACCAGTACGCCAACCCCGTGGCCCTCGAGGCGCTCAACTGGAAGTATTACATCATCTACTGTGTCGTGCTTGCCTTCGAGTTTGTCTACTGCTACCTCTTTGTCGTCGAGACGCGCGGCAAGCACGGCCCCCTGCCGCTCGAGGAGATCGCGGCCATCTTCGACAGTCCCGGCGCCGCCTGGGGCTTCAAGAAGCGCCAGTTCATCGACGAGCCCATCGACAACGAGTCGCACCCAAACGCTCTTGACATCGATGACAAGAAGGGCCTCGACCACGAGCGCGTCAGCGATGTCTCCAAGTGAGCGCTCTCCCACACATCACATAATCAAAGGAAAAAGGGTATTTTGTTCATTGTCTTTAGCAAGTCGTATAAGTTTAGTCTAGTGTTCTTGGTTCTTGGTCCAAGACTTCCCCACTGCTCAGTCGAATGTAACCTGTATGCAGAGCAAGGCGGTTCATAAGCGCTTCCGACGGTGGCAGCGGTGCATGGGTAGGACGCGACAGGAAAAGTGCACTCAGGCGTGAGTGAATTGTAGGGCAGAGGGTCTCGAGAGATCTGGCCCGTCAGCACAGAAGGTGGAACCAATGGCGAAGTGGCAGGATGGGTGGGTCCGTGTTCGGGGAGAGGGCGGCAGAAAGCCGTCAAGCCGGCTAGGATGCATAACGATTCCAGCAAGCAGATTCCGAGTGCGGGAGTCCGAGATGTTGATCTGTGGCCAATTGCGGAGAGGTGGCACTGCGCTGCAGGACATAGCAAGGGATGCAGAAAAGTAAGCATGGCGCTAGCAAACCCAGAAGAAGGGGAGCTTCTTGATCGTGTGCACTGGTTAGCCGGGGCCTGCAGGTGCCGGAGCGGCGGTATCTGCCTGACACGGGGTATTTGGTTCCAAACGCGGCGTGTGGTGTTCAAAAAGGGGGAGGCGGCTGAATCTGGTCATATGGCCCGGGTGGGGGACACCTGACCTGGCCCTCTCGCCATATCCGTCGGCTTCGGCCGGCTCTCGGTCCATTCTCGACTCAACGGCGCTCCCATCTTTGTCTTCCTCCATTGCTCTTCACCTCGTCGATTCTGCACGCTGTGCACTTCCCATACTTCCCCCCACCCCTCCGTGGGCAACTCTAACAACGCCCCCACATTGCATCCGACGCTGGCGTCGAGGACCCCCGCCATCCGTCGCCGAACCGTGCGCCAAGCCGCCATCGGGGCACCGAGTGCAATCCGCCGTGTTTCCCCCGAGCCCACATCTCCACCGACCATCGCCCAACAACCGAGCGAAGTGTTATCCAGATGCCGCCGAAAACGTCGCGCACCTGCGACAACTGCAGGAAACGCAAAGTGCGTGTGTGCCTATGAGCAGCCGGATGCACTCTGCTCCGTCTGGAGCACCAACGCTAACGGCAGATCAAGTGTGTTGAGGATGACACTCCGGGAGCCCCGGAACCCAAACCGTGCATCGGGTGCCGTAACCTCGCAATCGACTGCACGTACGACTACGTGAAGAAGAAGCCTGGGCGGAAGAATGCGTGAGCTGCAGAGTCAATCCGAAAGCTGATTAAAGATTCGCGCTCGCATTGAAACAGCAACAGGCGGCGGCCGCGGCGGCGCAGAACGGGGGAACGGAGAACGGGTTCGCGCACGATCCGCGAGGTCCCGGGCCAGTACGGAACTCCTTCAGCCGCACGAGCTACGGCCCATACGACCGCTACGATGAGTACGAGAGTGTTCAAGGCACGCCGAGGAGCGGGTATGCTGCCCTAGGAACTCCCCGCTCGCCCTATGGTGCGCCTAACCCTGGCGCGCTGCGCGGCGACATCGGCGGCCTCTCCTGGCTCGACAGCATGATCGATGGCTCGCTTTTCCCCGATCTCGGCGGCTTCGAGATGCTCGGCCCCGGCACGACGCAGTTCGGCAACGAGCAGGCGCAGCTCCTTTCCCTCGAGAGTCCGGAGAATCTGGCTTCGGGAGCTGGGTCAGCAACATCAGCTAACGGAGCTGCCCAGAGGGCGGTGCGGGACCGATCACCGCAAATCGAGGATGTCACGAGCTGGGCCAACATCTCGCACTATATCTCACTCTATCTTGCGTACCTCTGGCCGCTGCTGCCGCTCGTCCACCGTCCTACATTTGCAGAAAACCTCGTTTCGCGGCTCGATTTGAGGGACACCGACTTCCGTGCCCTCCTCCTCAGCATCGTCGCTTTCACCATCAGCCAGCTGCCAACGACGCGGCTGGTTACGGAGCAGTTTGACGTCGAGGGCCTGAAGCGCCTGCAGCGCAAGTGTCACCGAACGAGCCAGGCGCTCCAGAAGGGGTACACGGGGCAGGTATCTCTCACGCAGATCTGCATCATTATTTTGTAAGCTGACAACGATCGTCCCCTGAAGCTGACCTCAGTGACAATTTCTATCTCCTGAGTATCGGACTGCAGCACACGGCGGCGGCGCGTCTGGGCCAGGCTGTCCAGCTCGCCTTCTGCCTCGGCCTGCACAGCGATGCGCGCACGGAGGCGCTTGGTCTCGATCCCGTCGAGGTGCAGCTTAGGCGGCGAGTGTTTTGGCAGCTGTACGCGAGCGACAAGTGAGTACTCTCCTGACAGCTGCGTGGAGCGTGATGTGGCTAACGCCAGAACCCGCGCCATCCCCGGCAACCCAATGCTGATCAACGACTTCCAGGGCGTATGCTCGTACCCCGAAGCCGTCGACGACGACTTCATAACCTCGCAAGGCATGTTCCCTCAGCCATCATCCAAGACCTCGCTGCTGGTCGGTTTCGTGGCCGTCTCCAAGCTCTTCAGAGTCATGTCCGAGTGTTTCTTCCACCACCGCTGCCTGCAAAGCGGGCTGAAGACGATCAACTCGCAATGGCCGCAACTCGCCGAGGAGCGGATCCACAAGCTCCTGAACGAGCTCCCGCTCAGCATTCAGGACCCGAATACGGCCTCGGCGAACCGGGCCATCTTCGCGACGCAGCGCGCCAACATTCTCATCACGACCGCCATCGTCAAGTTTGCGCTGTACGACCTGCGCTCGGCGCTGGCAGAGGACGAGCGGGGTGAGCGCGGCGGCGATAGGAGTGAGCCAGACAGTAATGACTCGAATGAGACGAGGGACACGCGCGAGACGCGGGATCGCGAGCGCGAGCGCCAGGTCATTGCGCGCGAGATTTACAATCTCCTCATCAGTATTCCCGTCGAGGACCTCGCGAGTAATGGCGAGAGCGTGAGGAGCAAAGTCATCCATATTGCATGTGCGCTCGTCAACACCAACACGAGCGAGGACAATACGCTCATCAAGGACTGGTGCGACATGTTCTCGGCCATCAGCTTTGTGCAGATGCCCGTGCCGTTGCTCGACTCTCGCGCCAATACGCCTCCGCCAGCCGCCGAGCCGCCAGTCGCCTAGTTTCCAAGGGTTTTTGTACCATAAGGTTGTATCCAGTTCTACTACTATGCACCGAGAAATCTATAAAACGTACATGACATCAGGAATATCCTACATGCGACAATGTTCACTTCTTCTCCTCAAAGATGGCCGCGAGCGAGTTACGCGCTGCGGGCTTGTTGGCGAGGAACGTCTTGAGGGGCGCCTTGAGCGCGGGCTGTTTCTCGATGATCTGGCGGATCTGCTCAATGGGCATCTGGAGGAGGGCGCCGAAAGATGCCTGGCCGAGCATACGGATGAGGAGTGAGAAGCCCTCCCAGAGCTCTGGGTTCTCCCAAATCTTCCGTCCAATAAGTTTCGGGATGATATTGTTCGCGACAAAGGGCACAAGACTCTTGTACGGCTTCAGCGCCTGAATGATGGTGCGGATGAAGACCTTGGGTAAGGCATCGGCACCCTGTTCGGGGTGCAGGTCGACGATGCGCTGCATCGCGTTCGCGAGCACGTCAGAGCGGAACACGGTCGTCATCGTGAAGCAGATCCTGATGGCTGCCTTTGTGGCGTTAAGCCCTGCCTGCTCATTATGCAGCGTGACGAGGAGGTCCGCAGGCGTCATCTTCTGCAGTGCCGCGGCAAAGGCGCCGCGCACCTCGTCCTCGGCCTCGGGACTGTCGAGGAGCGCGACGATGCGTGGGATCTGCGCCTCGATCTCGGCCTTGTCCAGCACGTTGATGATGGGGATCACGAAGCGCGGGTCCACCTGCCGCTCGGCCATGAGCTGGCGCACGACCGGCGCGAGCAGCTGCCCGCTGCCCTCCGCCGACAAAACCGTCACGACACGGAAGGCGAGCCGCTCCGCGCCGTTCGGGAAGGTGCGCAGGATCTCGAGCAGCTTCTTTGTCGGGCCGAGCGAGCGGATGAGCGGGATCAGCATCGTCTCGACGCTCTTTTGCACGCTCGGCGACAGTTTCGGGTACAGCGCGAAAATGTCGTCGAGCAGGTCCTGGTCGCGACGCGACAGCGCGAAGGGCAGCTCGACATACTGCGACACCGTGTCCTGGTCCACCTCGCCGAGATACTTGGACTGCACTGCGTCGGGGTCCTCGGGCTGTTCTGGCTCCGGCTCTGGCTCGGCTCCACTGTCCATCTCGACGTCCGGTTTCGTCTCTTCTGCAGCCTCGCCCTCCGTTTCCGGCTTCTTCTCCCCGTCCTCGCCCTCCTCCGGCTCGGGCTTGGGCGGTTCCCGCACCTTGGCCGTCGCGAGGCGCTTCAGCACACCGAGGGCGTACTTGACGACAGCCTCCGACATGGGGAAGTTGGGCACCCACGAGCGCACCGTCGTGATGGCCATGACGCGGACCTTGCGCTCCGGATGCGTGCAGAATTGGAGCAGCGTCTGGACCGCGCGGGGACGGAGAGGCGGGCGAGCCTCGGCGAGCTCCTTCAGCGCTCTGAAGCCAACAATCATGCGCTCCGGATCCTCACACAACGGCTCAATGGCGTCGATCGCACTCTCCGGAAGCTCAGGAAGACCGAGGAGGAATTGGCTCAGACTCGTGTCCTTCGCATCCAGGGTTGGAATGTACGCCGTCAGGATCGCCATGAGACCAGCGTCGTACTGGTTGTCTCGTCCGCGGCGCTTCGCGAGCCACTCCTCGTTCAGCCAGACGGTCGCAAACTTGCTCCGCGAGGAGAAGTCCTTGGCTACAAACTCGCCGATCAGCTTGCGCTTGTCCTCCCCTCCTCGACTCGAGATACGGGCTAGAAGAAGCATCCAGATCTCACGCGGCTGCACCGCACTTCTCGGCGCATCGCTGATCTTCAAGTCGGCCAAATGCGAAAGATCGGCGCCAGTGTCCCATATCCGCCGCACGGCAAAGTCGACAACCTCCTCCTTCTCAGTCTCCGGAAGCGGTTCGGGTGGCGGCAGCCGGAAGTCGGCGATCGTCACCTGCTGCTCGAGTTCGTCCTCCATTGGCTCAAGGAGTAGCTCATCGTCGTCATCGTCCAGCATCTCCAGCGGGTTCACCACCGCATCTTCTCTGTCCTCCGCCCTCAGGAGCGCAGGTGCTAGAGCCTGCACGGCATCAGGATGGTCGTCCAGGATCGCTTGCCGGCCCGCCTCGCATGCACGGGTAAGGAAGTCGTCCGACGCCGCTCCGAGCGCTGCCACAACGGCATCGATGACTGGCTCGAGCGCAAGTTGCGAAACGTCAAACATGACCGAGCCCTTCCCGTCTCCACTTCCCAGAAGTACCTCCATCCGAGCGCGCTTGGCCGCGCTTCCGCTGCTCTCCGCCTCAGACTCGAGGGGATGCTTTCCAGCCCGCGCAGCGGCCATGTTGGCACGTCGCTGTCTCCGCGCGTCAGCGTCCGCGGCGTACGCCATCTCCATGCGCTGCTTCTGCCTTCCGAGAGCGTCGTGCAGCTGCGCGCTGAAACCAACGAGGGGCGGATGACGGGCGATGTGCGCCATGACCGCACGCATCGTCTTCTCAACACTGCGGATCTGCATCGGCGGTCGCCGAGCTGCCTCCATCGCACTCGGAGTCCATGCCGCCATGGACTGCACGATGAGCGGGGCAAGTGCCGGCCGCTGCTTCACGAGAGGAGGGAAGGTGTTGATGATTGGAGCGAGGATCGCGGGGTCGTCGAGTCCGTACAGTTGTGTCACGAGCTGCGTTCGGAGCAGGTTCGCCTCCTCCTCAATCTTGGCTGGGTTCAGGAGCGAGCCGGGCTGGATTAGAGCAACGCTCACGTCGTTACTCCGCGCTTGCAGTCGGGGGTCACCACCCGCTCGCACTCCGACCAGCAGTACCCGCTGAATGTACTTCCAAGCCGCCGCCTTGATACCGACGTTTTGCGGTCGCGCGCCGGGGTCGAGGACGAGCGACAGGATGCGCGCCTTCGATGTCTGGAATACGTCGTACAGTTTCGCTGAGGCTTGTCCGGTTACAGCACTGATGGTCAGCTACCAACCCCGTAGAAGTAGCTCACAGATGCCGGAAGAGCATGGGATAAACCGTCGCGAAGATTGGGATGACAGCTCTGATGGTCATGGAGCTGCTGCTATTCAGCAGGCGGTTCAGGTGCTCCAGCGAGCTCGTCGCAACTGGCTCCTGTTAGTACTTCGTAGCAAACAGCTACGCCCCGACTCACCATCCATTTTGACCTCCGTTCGGAGACCCGCCCGTCCGACCGTGAGCGCGAGCATGTCTAGCGTCCAAGCTCGGAGGAGCGAGTCAGGGCCCTCGACGACCATGGGCAGAAGCTTCTCGATGACCTCGGGGAGCTTGTCTGGGTGGTCCTCGAATCGTGTGCCGGCGGCCTGGAGAGCGTCGGCCTGCTCTGGTGTCTCTGGGGTAGCCTGCACCGCGGCCGCGAGCGCCTGAAGGGGGTCTGTGGGCGCCGCCGAGACGGTGCTCCCGGGGAGCGAGGGGTAGAGGTCTTCATCGTCGGCGTAGAGCGACATGGTCGGTAGCTTGCGACTCGGCGGGGAGAGCAGGCGAGCAGGCAGACCGGATGTCGATTGTTGTATGTGCAGCACCTACAAGGTTCGCGCTCTCTCAGCCATGTCCCAGATTCCGTTGTACGGTGGTGGATGATGTACGCCCACGTGGGATATGACGTGTGGCCGACCCCACATTTGATACCCCGATCGAGTACCGCCCCCGGCGTCAGTGACGCGATGTCACCTCCGACCTCGACCTCTCCAACCAGTCTACACATACAGAATGGTGAGCACGCAGCTGCATGGCGACGCACGTAGCTGACCTTTCAGGCGGCGAACTCCCAGGGTATTCAGACGCTTCTCGAGGCTGAGAAGGAGGCCGCCAAGGTCGTCCAGAAGGCTCGTCAGTGTGAGTACCGGTTGTGGGGACTAGGCATCGGCCAACAGCGGTTGCGTAGGACAATCGCATGCCTCGAAAGGGCAATGGGAGGGCTGCTCAGCCGGAACACGATTGCAGACAGCAGCATATCCAACGTTCGAAGGGTTTAGAGGTGGCCGCAGCACTCGGTTGCACTTCTGCCCTGCCTGGACGACCTCATCTGCGTCTGCGATGTCCGCCCAACCCGGACAGCCGGTCACTCCCTCGGCGACAACAGCGTCGACGAGAAATAAGCCGCCGTGCCCGCGGGTGTGCGACCAGGAATAGCAGGCTGCTCGCTCCCGAGCTCGACGTGGCTGCACGCTGGAAAGGAGCGTCGTCGCAGCAATGTCTACCTTCCTCAGCTTCACTTATGCCTTGCCGATTGTCTCAACCTGCTTGATTTCAAGTGGACGAGATACCGCCTTTCGCATTCCGTCCATGACTGCATGCTCGGTACCGCGTGCTCCTACCAGCAACCAGATGCAGACCCTCCCAGTTTCATTCTGCTGTTATCCGTTGACCAGCGCTAACAGATCGCAGACCGTGTCCAGAAGCTCAAGGACGCCCGTTCCGAGGCCGCCAAGGAGATTGAGCAGTACAAGGCGCAGAAGGAGGCCGACTTCAAGAAGTTTGAGTCTGACGTGAGTGTTTGGTTCAGTGCGAGGAAGGTCGTCGGGTAGTCACCGTGCTAGTTCCGAGCGTCATACAGGGCAGCAAGTGTCCAGCATGGACAGCCCTCTCTTCTGCTCCCGCATTCTCTCCGGAGCATTGGTGCAGTGGAGAGGGTGATCATCACCTCCGTGGCTTGTCTCTACCCCGCCCGCTTCGCACTGAGGAAGCTACGTTGAGCCCGCCTTTAGCTGACCCACAGCACACCTCGCAGACGTCAACGTCGCAGACGACGATCGACACGGACAAGGACGAGCAGCTGAAGAAGCTCGACGCCGAGGTGAAGAAGAACGGGCCGGACGTGGTCGAGAAGATTGTCTCGCGCGTCCTCAAGGTCAACCCCGAGCTGCACCGCAACCTGAAGAAGGTCGAGGCGTAAGGCTTTGCAGCTCCGTGTTTGTATTTTAAGTGCCCCTTTTTCAGTTTTATGGTAGTACTACTTTTGTCTCTCCATAGAAAGAGATGAAGATATATAGAATCTTTATGAGGATGGCTGGTGACTGGCTGAGATTGTGCGGGGCGGCGGCGCGGCGGACTGCTTGGTCGGTGGTCTGCAGCTCCGAGACATGTTGCCTGTGCCTGATCCCCGCGTCCATTGCCACCGAATCCGAGAGCCTGACAGCTGAATGTGATTGTAAGAAGCCTTGCTGCTCGTACGTTGCTTCTGACAATCTGACAGTGACCAGTTGATCGACCCGGAGGGCACGAAGGGGTGAGCTTATTCGCGTTCGCGCGTTCGGGCATGTGGGTATGTGGGGGCGGAGAGATGACGTGGTGACGATCACCCCTTGCCTTCCCCTGGCCGCGTTCGCGGTACGCGGTGCCGTTCCTTTCACATCAGTGCACGGGGCATCGCCTCGGTGAGCGAGCATTCCTCCTGCAGCAGCGAAGGTGGGGGGGAGCGATTGCTTCTCGATTCATCATAGTTTTGATACGAGGGGGAAACTACCGAATGACAACTAGTTGAGAGAATACAATTATAGTGGGGTTTGGGCCGCAGTAGGGCACCTTGTCCGTTGCCTTCTGCGCTGCGCTACCCGCTTGAGGGAAGGATGCGCTCGCCTTCGGCTCGCCGCACAGTACGCTTAGAGCTTGGGCTTGGCGGCGTTGAGGACGGTGGAGAGCTTGGTCGCGAGCATGATGTTGCCCTTGACCTTCAGCTGGCCGGTCATGAAGGCCTTCTGGGGGTTGACCTTGCCGTCGGCGAGGCCCTGGAAGGTGTCGTCGGTCATCGAGATGTTGACGTCGGGCTTCTTGCCGGCGCCCTTCGAGACGGTGCCCTCCTTCTTCAGGTCGATGACCCAGGTGGCCTCCTTGCCCTGCGCGTTCTTGATGTTGAGCTGGAAGATGCCGTTGGTCTGACGGTTAGCTGGCATGCCTCCAAGGGTAACAGCAAGCGACCGGCCCAACGGCGACGGCGCATCCACGCTACTCACCTTCTTGATCTGGGCCTGCTTCTCAGAGTCGGGCATCTTCTTGAGAGCCTCCTCGATTTGCTGTCCATGTTAGCTTCCACGGTCCATGCAACAGCTGGCAGTGTTCGGGCTCGCGCGAGCAGCGGAATCGCAGGCGTTCGCCCGCCTTCGCCCATCGACAACACTTACAGCGAAGGTCTCGCTGGCCTTGAAACCGTCCTCCTTGATAGACATTGTTGGCAGAGAGAGTGTGTGGGGGGTGGTAAGGTAGACGAGGTGAGCAGGTGAAGATGAGAAGACGGCTTCCACGCGCACCTTGCCGGGTTCTTATAACAATAACGCACCAGTGCGAGCGTCGGGCCAGGCTATTGCCGGGAACCCATTGGTGCGGCCACGGTGACGTACACTGGACATTCCCATCCGGCGACCCGGAACCAAACTCGCTCACCGCTACGCCGTACAATGCGCTGCACAAGCACTGCACTGCTGACACAGGGATTCGGGAGGCGCCCGGCGCGCCCGGCATGCCCGGCGGAGGCGGCGTTCAGACACCCTTTGCCTCTCATCCCACTGCAGCGTCCATCATTGCTTCGACTGCCGTCTGCCCGGTGGCGACCTAGTAATGACTTAGCAGTGACGCTAAGCAGGCGCCCGGGGCGACCGGGAAATGCACTGTGGAGCTCCTGTGGAGGAGGGCGTGGAGGGTGGGGGCAGGACACAATTGGTCGCCCGTCAACCGGACATCAACCCGGTCAGCGCGGCTCCCCCTCCCATCGCGCATCCACGCAACATGATAACGAGGCACTAGCGACGCCCAGCACGGTCCGATCCTGCGAGGCTTGAGCACGCGGACGCCTGCACCTGAACGGACGTCACGTGCACGGTCATCGGCCCCCGCGCCTGACTTTGCACGTGATGGGAAGTCAGCGCAGGCCTTGCCAACTAATAGGCACATTGAGCGAGGGTGAACCTACCGTTCACGTGCTCTCAAGCCTATCTGCTCAGCAACCTGTGCTGGTCTTCTCAGGGTCGTGATCGAGGAACGACCAAAGGAAGCCGATGTGTGCTAAAGCGGGCGACCCCAAGAACCTGGGTCACATTCAAGGAAGACGTAAAGAAACGTCAGCCGCGCAACATGGCGTGTCTGTCTGACGCGCTCGCGTCTGCGCACTGAATCCATTATGTGGACCGTTGTGTGCGTGTCAGTGTGCCACCATGTCACCCATTTGTGAGCTCCACATCTTCCAGAGCCCATCACAAGGGCGAGGCGCAGGTCGCCCGCAGACCGCAGAGTCACCCAGAGGGTGCGGAGTTACGCGAGGGTCCAGACATCGGGGTTGCACCTGGGGTTGCTCTGGGTCCGCCATGTGAGGGCGCGCATCATTGGTCCGCCTGTTGGCACCGCGGCACCGCTGCTGCGAAGGATGCCTGCGATTATCATCCAGATCCTGGATATCCTGGATCCTGACATGCCTTAGGCTTTCGAGAGCCCGCGCCTTTGGCCTCCCTTTGTCGACGCCTGGCGCCCTCCGCCGCCTGCCGATCGTGACGACGAGATTGCAGTGCAGCATGGCATGCATAAGGCACACGGAGATTTCATCGACTATTCTCGGCCCACCCTGGGCACCTCGTTCACTCCATGCCACCCCGGATCTCCATGCGCAGAGTCGTATCTGCACCGCATGTCGTTTTCTTTGACTGCTTGTCATTCCAACTTGTCTGTTTCTCACTCTTGCTCTTTAAACAAACTCGCCCAGATCTGAGAGTGGCTGCGCCTTCTCATTCTTCGCTCGACGTTTGCCCCAGGGCCACCCAATTCAACCAGCCCCACTAAAGTACGCTCGTGAACGACCTCGACGCCTCCAACTCGACATTGCCAGCGATCGCACTCTACCCCGTACTACCGTGCGCCACTCGAAAACAAACGGTTGTCAACAGTCATAACAGCATCGTACGTCGCCGGGTTTGTTTGGACAAGAACAGCGCCCCCTCAGCCGGAAACCGCCTGATACCGCCAACTTCCGCACACTAGCTCTGCTTAGATCGTGCTCACGAGCGCACCGTGCTTTGAACATTTTCCTGTCCTGCACGAGATTGCAACTCGACGAACGACGAGAATAGCCTGCTCCTTCCGACCCGCAACGCCATTGCTGCGCCCACCTGCGACGTGCGCCTTGTTTTGGACCGAACCGACTGCAACCGACAGACAGGAAAAGAAAACGTTACGCACCTGATCGTCACTTGCCGTTGTGACCTGCCATCTGCCAGGTCCTGAAACAACGCACTCGGACCCCCTTGCACTTCGAATTCGTGCATCGTATCGTCGTACGGCATCAATCTCCATCTTAATCGGTCGCCAGACTAGAAGCCTCAGACGCCCGGTTGTATCGCGACGATCGCACATCTCGAAGTCACAACTCTATCACCTACGACTGGACACGACAGCACGACTACACTATTCTCCATCCCTAATCTCGACCTGCACCTGAACGCTTGAGACACGATCCGAGCTACGATCGCACCGCAAATTTCGGCAGCGCTGGCCGTTCGCCCCACCATTTGATCCGTCATGTCCGCCAGTGCGAGCGCAACGATATCAGCGTCTGCGTCGGCGGCCTCGTCCTCGCACGGAGAGGGCCTCGGACTCGACCAGAACAACGTCACGTTCAAAATCGTCGGTGTGTGTTTGGCCGTCGGCAGTGGTTTGTTTATCGGAACGAGGTGAGTGAAATGGCCCATGTGAAACAAACAATCGTCTACGGCTGGACCGAATCGGACGACTTGAGCTGACTCCCAGTTTCGTCATCAAGAAGAAGGGACTGTTAAAATCGACGGAGAAAGCGGGCAACGAGGCCGGCGAGGGCCATGCGTACCTCAAGAGCTGGCTGTGGTGGACGGGAATGATCATGATGATCATCGGAGAGGTAAGCTGGCTGACTATGTTCGAAGCTGACAGTCAGATTCTCAACTTTGTTGCCTAGTAAGCTTTGACGAGTCTCTACGTCAGCTAACCCCAGCGCCTTCACCGTCGCCATTCTCGTGACGCCGATGGGCTCGATCTCTGTCGTCGTCGCTGCGATTCTGTCGCACTACTTCCTGAAAGAGTCGCTGACATTTTTTGTGAGTATAGTCTCGTGGCGGGCGTCGCCGCCAAGAACTGCGCAGAAGCACGAGGGCGCACAGCAAAGCAGCAGCTGACCCACAGGGATGGATAGGATGCATCCTCTGTATTCTCGGCTCGGTCATTCTCGCCCTCAACGCACCGGAGCAGAGCACGGTGCGGACGATCAAAGAGTTCCAGGGCTACTTTGTGTCGCCCGGCTTCCTGACGTGGGCCGGTATCTGTATCGCGATCTCAATCTTCATCGTCGTCTGGGTCGCCCCGCGCTACGGCAAGAAGCACATGCTGCCGTACATCTCGGTGTGCTCGCTGATCGGCGGCATCAGTGTGTCGTGCACGCAGGGCCTCGGCGCGGCCATTATCACGAGTATCTCGCCTGGGTGAGCTCAAATGTCTATGGTCATCAGCTGACAACAGCCCGAGCCAGGTCAAGGACTGGTTCTTCTGGTTCCTCTTCGTGTTCGTCGTCGTGACGCTACTGATTGAGTGAGCTCACATATTTGTCCATTAGCTGACCCCAGAATCAACTACCTGAACAAGGCGCTCGAGCTATTCAACACGTCGATGGTGGTGCCCGTCTATTTCTGCTACTTCACCAGTGCGACGATGATCACATCGTTCATCCTGTACCGCGGCTTGAAGGCGTCGGCGCCTACGCTCATCACGATGGTGTTAGGCTTCCTTGTGACGTGTTTTGGCATCACGATCCTGCAAATGTCCAAGGTGGACCCGACCAAGCTACAGGGCCTGGACCGACGAACTACCATCCTGCTCCAGGCGGCGCGCCAGCACACCGAGGCCGACGAGAAGGGCGACCTGAAGGCGATGGAGGACCCGGGCATGGACGCTCTGCGCGGCGGGTTCGGCAGTGTCGGGTCCATCATCCGTGCCCGTTCGATCCAGCGCCGGCGCTCGACGCTGAGCTCGCAGCACTCGCACGGCTTCACCAACTCGGCATACACGGGTGGCACGCACATGCACCACCTGAGCACGCAGGGCCTGGCGCATTTGCCGCGGTACCAGCTGAACGACGCGCCGATGCACGACGAGCCCGAGACTATCAGTCTCGCGCCGCAGCCGACGGGCTCCTCCGCCGCGGCGCGGAGCCGCGCGAGCACGCTCAAGTTTGACGACCAGGAGACAGTGCACCAGTACGGCTACGGCGCACTCGCAGGTGTCGCACGAGGAGCTGCGCTCGCCGACACACCAGAGCTCAGCCGACCGCATAAGCTTACCGACGATCACGGAGCTGTCGCCGGCGCCGACGCCGGGCACAACGCTGAGCCCGGGCGTGGCGCAGCGCGCGCCCTCGCACGCCTCGCAGAAGACGGCCCTCTCGCACGCGTCAGAGGAGAAGCTCGACCCAAACGAGCACGGCGACTCGACGGTCCGGGCCACGGGCATGGGCACGGGGGACACGGGCGGCGCGACTCGCGGTCTTCGGACGTGCGCGGCGGCCAGGCGCGGGGCATGCGCGACTACCCGCGCACGAAGGAGGCGGCGCTGGAGCGCGAGGAGCGCCGCGGCTTAGTCCGCTCGCCAGTGGAGAGTCCGGTGAATTCGCCCGAGGAGGACCCGCTCGCGCGCTTCGAGTCGGTCGAGCTCGGCCGCCAGGATTCGCGCGACAGCGACGACTTCCATCTCCAGCAGGAAGTTGACATTGCCGCTCCTCGGCCCATCTCGATCGATGACGGAAGGTGCTCCCCGACCAGCGGCCGCATTCGACCGGGAGGACCTAGGTAGTCCTCCCCGGTATCTCGCAGGCAGCGGAGACACCACCACCCCTAATGACAACGACAACAGGACACTATCTCTCTCTCTCTCCTACTATAGACACGCGGACGCAACGATTACAGCATGTACATATAGTTGGGTTGTATGCATACAAAGTGACTTCTACGGTGTCTCCTGTCATCGTCGGCCGTGCTCGTGGCGACATTATCTCCTCGATAATGACTTGGCTCTCCTCGCTTCGCTCGGAGCTATGCCATGGCCCTGGCGCGGTTCCACTCCTCCTCGGCCTGCTCCAGACTCCGCTCGAACCCCTCCATGATCCGCCTCATCTCCTCGCGGGCATCAGGCCGCTTGCCCGCCTCCTCGAGCGCCTCGAACCGCCTCACGCCCTCTGCGCACTCGTCCTCATGCTCTTGCGTCGCCTTGAACGAGCGCAGCCCCACACGCACGCCCTTTAACTGCCTCGCACTCGTCGACGCGATGCTCGACAGGGACAGGTTGGCGCTCTCCAGGATCGAGACTAACGACGCGCTGAGGGAGAGCGTGTGTGCGGCGAGCTCGGCCGTGTGCCGGGGCAGGAGGCCGCGGCGCTGCGCGTGGTGCGGCGTGTGCAGCGTGTGCGGCGTGTGCGGCGTCAATGGCGTGGTTGGGGATCGCGGCGTGGTAGGTGAGACAGGGGACGCGGGCGGCGTCTCGTCCTCCTCCTCTATTGTCCCGAAGCCGGAGATCGGGACGTCCGGCTCGCCCGTCCACCCGACTCGACTGCTTTCGCCCAGCCCAGCAAGTTCAGACAGCCGCAGGTCGAGGTCGAGTCCCTCGCCCCGCACCGTCTCGAATTCACGGAGGAGCACGGTCAGTTCTCGAATCCCGTCCTCGCGCGCGCGCTCGCTCTCGCCCAGTTTCCCCACTAGGCTCACGAGGCCCAGCTCGACGGCCTCGTCGCTCGCGCTTTGCAGTCGCGCAATGAGCGATTCTGTCGCTTCCAGTGTCGACTCAAAGTCTGTTAAGAATACGCGCTCGGGCTCGGGGGACGGCGAGCGCCGGCTGCTCAGCCCGTTCGCATACCCGTTTGAGAAGCTAGGTGTTCGGAGGGGACTTGGCGGCGCCCGCCGAGGAGAGGAGTGCGCAGAGTGCGAGTGTCCATTCGGTACTGGTACCGCGAGCGTGGGTGCTGTTGGGGAGGTCGGGGTCGTGGGCTCGAGTGCATCGAGACGTTCGGCCTCGTAGTCGAGAGTCGGGGCGTCGAGTTCCGCCGCGAGCGATCCGAGCCCGGGTTCTGGCGTCAGTTTACTCGCACCGCCTGGCACCACCGGTGACACCGGCTGCACTCTGTGCAAGGCGCAACTTACCTCGTCCCAGATCATCTGGCCCGTCTAGCAGCTCATCGGCTAGCGACACGCCGACGCCGCGGTCGTACTCGTACTCGTCGTCGTAGTCGTAACCGGGCCCGTCGAGGTCGAGCTCGTCCGCTAAACTTGCGAACGCCATTGTGTCTGCGACAGGTTCTGGTCAGGCGTGCGGAGCTCGCCGAGTGGGATACGTCAATTCGTGAAGCAATCGAGCGGTTGCTCGCCTGGACACCCAGGACGAGGCTGAGCTGAAGAGGCAGGCAGAGGCACTACCTCAGCACGGTCCGCGTGCTGCCGCTTGAGCGCTGGGCGGGCTGGGTCGAGCAGAGGCTGCGAGCTATGGTCTGCAGCTGCTCGAGCTGCTCGCGATTGAGGTGGAGGGGTGCGTCGGCACGCAAGTGTCGGTTCGGGCCGAGGGTCGCCGTCCGCTGTGTGTGCTGCTGTGTGTGTCTTGTACTCGGGGTCGTGTATCGGCGTGCAAATGTAGAGTCGGATTATGTCGTGCGGCGGCGTCCAAGTCTATAGTCTCTAAAAGGTCAAGAATGGGAGGATACGTTATAAACAATCGAGAAGGAAATCTAAAAGAGAACACGAAACTCAAATCGCGACGGCCAACGCTGAGCCAGGACCCCGGAAGCGTCAGAAGCCCCCGGACCCTCTTTCCAGTCGCGTCACACCCGCGGACAGTGGTAGGGTGAACTGCGCGTCGCGTGCCAGGGTCCCGCCAGAGCCGCCACCCAGGACCCGGAGGAACCGCACCAGTCGCACATCTCCGCCTCCACTCCCGAAACCATTCAGCAATTCACCACCGCCTTTGTGGTCGGAAGGTGTTGCATCGCAATCACGCACATCGTTATTCGTCCCGTCGACTAACCAACTACACTGAATGCGTCCTTTGGGCACGTACTGAAACCCATCTGCAGCTCGCGGGAAGCTGTCCTGCACAATGTCTCATCAATTCTACTGAACTTATGGAGACGCCCATGAGCACAAGAACCTTTACAGCGCACGATGGCACCCGTAACTGCCAACTCTAGCGTCATTCTCATCACCCGTCGTCCATGTCGTCCAGGTCGCTTTCACCGTCCCGAGAGTCCTTGACTATGTCAGCCTATTTCCTGACATTTAAGGAGGACTGGAGACACTCACATCGGCACGGATGACAGCGAGCGGGGTGTGGTAAGGGTATCCGGGCAGCTTCTTGTCGACGTCGATTGGGGTGATGAAGCCCTGCTCATCGTACACAGCGCGGAGCCTGTGGTTAGCTCTCTCTACTCCAGACAGCATGCGATAAATATCGCAGTCGGGGGTTCACTGGCAGCACGTACGCATCGACAGCGGCGCGCAATGCCGGCGACCTGGCGAGCATGGCCGCATCGGGCTCCTCGGGGAGGAAGAGTGCTTCCAAATCGAAATAGGTCTGGACCTGCTCATAAAGCAGGCGACCAGAGCCGGTGAAGCGCGGCTCGTTCGACTTGATCTCGGCCACTGTCGTCAACATTGACGGGTAATTACCGCTTACTGACCTTGAGCACGAGATCGCGGCCCTTGAGGATCTCGGTGCGATCTTCACCATCTTTCGGCAGCCAACGTCCTGCGGCGTGGTACTGCGCTTTGCGGATGGCGGAACCGGCGACCATGGCCTCGACCCCCTCCTTCTTTCAGGTCAGCACGTCGCCATCCTAGATCCTTGCATTGGTAACCTCAACGAAGGCCTCGTCGGCGGTCTTCTGGTCGCGTTGAAGCCAGTAGACGGCCTCGGGGTGGTTGTCGTACCCATGAGGGGGAAAGGAGGCGTGACGCGGCCATCATCAGATCGACGGTCCATGTGCAGGCGATGAAGCGGTGCGCAATGTTACTCGCTGCCGTCGTACCCTGTCCCGTCTCTGATGCGCTGGTGCATGACGGAGAGCGCATCCATTCGCTCGTTCAGGTGACCTAGGGTGTTCCCCAGGCTAAAGCGAAGCAGGGCGCCGAGGGCCGATGCCTCATCCGAACAGAGTGACAAGCGATCCTGCACCGGCACACGCTCGGCCGGCGTCATGATATCGATGTACACGAGTTGGCTGATGGAGTGCTCGTCGTACTTATCACCCATGAGCTGGGGTAAGCGTATTCTCAGTTTATGCTCACTTACACTCTGGAACTTCTCCAAAGTTGCACCGACCTTCTTGCACCCCTCGACGAAACCTTTCCACGACCCGTCAACAGGCACCGAGCGCGAGGCGATCTGCTCCAGCACCGCGCTGCGCTGGTGAGTATACCTCGGCGTGAACACGCACCTGATCTCGACGTCCGACGGCGCCTTGTCCATGTTCGGGACCAACTGCTCGATCTTGGCTGCGTCCTTCTCAACAAGGAGGAGAGCAGTGCGGAAAGGGTTCAGCATGCCAGTCTTGCGCGTCATGTCATCGGGATGGCGAGCGAGGACTGCGAAATGGCCTGCGTCCAGCCCGGTCAAGCTCAGCAGGCGGGCACCGGCTCCACTCGCAGTCGGCGTCGACGGTGAGGTTTGGGAGCTCATGTCGGACCGAGCACGGACGGGGAGGATATGAGCGAAAGGGAGATGGAAGGAAGGAGCAAGGAGAGCGAGTATCGAGTGTTAAAGTCCTTTGAGACTCAGCGGCCGGGCCAGGGGTATGAGACGCCGATCACGATGATCGCCTCTCTAGGTTGACGTGGACTGACGATCGCTGACGATGGTGTCGCAGCTCTGTGAGTGCGGTAACCAGTTGACAGATGGACTCGGGCTTCAACGTGCGTTCGCTGTGACATGCTATCTCGCCCTCCGTCCGCTGTGACATGCTATCTCGCCCTGCCACCAAGGGCTAACTGGCATTGCAGCTGTATCACAACATGCATGCTGGATGCTCTGCTGACTCTGCCCACAAGCAAACGCTGACCCTAGCGCCCAGGGCTAGTCGGATAGTCGAATGGGCATTGGGCCGCTTCGAGCTGTCACTCCCTCTGTGTCCGGCCGGCCGTTCCTGCTAAACTGGAGTCAGTTAGGAATCAATGAGGCATGGAGAACTCACTACTACGTACTTTCGCGGCCCCGGTGCTGCACGACCCCCGTTCGACTGAGGGTTTGGTCGCCTCCTACGTCTCTGGCCGGACATCAGTTGACTGTTACATGCACTGGAAAACTCACCTCCGACTTCTGAGTTGCGACTCTGGCGTCGGCGGCATGCTCGGTCTTCTTCGCCCCGCCCTCTGCCAAGTTGCTATCGTGGCGGGACTGCGTGTCAGCTGGAATGCGCGGTCGTCCACTGTAGCTGGAGCGTCGGACTTACTGCTTCACTGCCGTCTCCGCCGCCTTCGGCAGGTTCGGTCTCCTCGCGCCCGTATGGCCCGTACCCTGGCGGCCAGAACCGGCCCGGGGTGTACTGCCACGCCTCGTTCTCCTCGTTCCAGTGTTTGAGTCTGGCGGCTTCCTTTCGGGCGAGCTAGGGCGGTCTCTTGCCGGCGAGTATGAGCTTCTCGTCTTCCTCGTTGGGAGGGAGCGGCATGGTGGGTGTTTGTGTGAATGTGTCGAAGGCGAGTAAGGGATGAGTGGGGAGACGGAAGGAAGAGGTGAAGTGGTGCGCAGACGGAATCAGAGAAGCAATGGTTGCGACGATCGCCACTCTGAGTGTGACGAAGGCGGTTGACTAGACCGGTCGGTGCTGCGCCACTGCAATCAAGCGTAACCCTCATGCGGCATAGTCATCTCGCTGCATGCGCTGCAGAATTGAGGGCCGATCTCAGACTTTCCTATGATGCATGCGTTGCTCTCGTCTTCTATGTGCACATATGTGGCCCTAGGTTCTCCGATTAATCGTTCAGGCAACTTCAGCCCTGTCGTCCTTAAGCTTCTCGGGGCTCTCGACCGCGGCCGACTTGTTCTCAGCAACATCAGCGTCGATCTGGGTGCCCTGGAGTTAGGTCGTAGGATTCTTTTTGTAACCTACCGATGCCGCTGAACTTTCAGCAGCCTTAGAACCCTTAGCCCCATCCTCGGGCTCGCCTTGAGCACCGCCAGAACTCTTCTCCTGTCCTATCAGTGGGAGCCGATCGCCAGTAAACTCACCTCTACAGCTGTGCTGGCCGGCATGTGCTCGCTGGTCTTCAGCTTCAGCTTCAGCTTCAGCTTTTCCGCCTCCTTCTTCTTCTCCATCTCTTCCTCCTCGTCATCCTGAATGTAAGCTACAACGTAGTGGGCGTATCTCAGCTTCACCTCTCCGCAAACTCACTTCGGAATCGCTGAAGGCGAAATAGCTACCGTCGGGGAGCTGTATATGGACAAAGACAGGCTCGGGAATCTGAGGTCAGCTAGTACACGGATATGACAGCTTCGGCTGCCCAGCTTGAGACGGAACGCTCACCTCATCAAGGCTGCGAGGAGCGTTGGGATTACGCTGAGGTGGCTCGGGGATGTCGGGGTACAGCTTGCGGATGGCGGCACTGACGGCGGCGTCGGCGGCGGGATCGTCGTCTGGTGCGGCGGCGCTGGCGACCACGATAGCGCGCAGCGCTTCGAACATGCTGGGGTTGCCAGCGAACGACATGGTGCCGTTAATGGGATCAGCAAAGATGAAGACGAACAAGAAAGGGGGATGGCGTAGAAGGGGAGTTTTGTTGGACGTGAGTCTGGACTGCGGGAACGGAATCAGAGGACAATCGATGCGATGATCGCCACTCTTGATGTGCCAAAGGAGCTTGACGAGACCGCAGTGTCGGTGGGTGCTGCATTGGGTTCACGACAGTCAGCAGCCAGCACTTGTCTCATTGGATCATTGGGGAGCTTAGATGCATGTCTGACTGGGGCCTGGTCGTTGGTTGTCCATGTGCACCTGATCTCATGACCATCGGTCCTGTCCTCTACGTAGGAAAGCTAACGTGCGGGGTCTAGGCCGGGACTGCTCTCCTCGGGATCGAGCTCGGCAATGGTGACTTGGCTGTTCTGAATCAGTGTAGATTTGGGCGCACTGGAGTCAGGTTGACAGGTACTTCTCACAACCTACCGACGCCGTGGCAGCCGCCATGACCTGTTCTTTACCTTGGTCCTTGACCTCGCTTTGGACAGAGGCACCCAACACTGCCTGGAAGGTCAATTTCTCGCCTGCGTCGATAAAATTCACCTGTCCTCCTGCACGATTGTGGCTCTCTGCCCTGCAGTCTCTGGACTCGCCCTTGGACCTGGCATCCTTGTCTTCTATGATGGTCTCAGGGTTCTGGCATCAGCTATATGGGCGAACAAAACACAGCTGTACAGCACACTCACCTCGCTGTCGCTCCTGCGAGTCTCGGATAGCACGCTATTGTTGGCTGGCAGGATGTGCAGCGGAGTAATCTCCGGGATCTGGGGTCAGCTACCTCTACGTGGGTATGAGAGCTGAACGCCGTCCAGCGTGAGTGGCCAACACTCACTAAATCGCGCGGGATGCGCATCAAGTTACGGGGCGGCTTGGGCCGGGGCCAGGCTGCATGTGTGAGGTGGCATGATGTGGGAGTACTTCGACAATGGCTCGTTTCGCGACGGCCTCCTTGGACGTAACCGCGTTGAGCTGGCAAGCTGTACCTCTACGGCGGAGGCGACGGAGGCGGTGGGATCGTTCGTGGGAATGGAGAGGCGGTTGGAGACGGCGGAAGTGAGGGCACGAGGACGCTGGGGTCAGATGGACTGGACGATTTTGTGTCGTTCTTGATGGTGAGGGTGGAGAAGCGAGGAGGAAAGGGAGGAGTGAAAGGGAGAAGGTATGAGTGTTGGGAGTGAGCAAGTGACAGATGGAGAGCATCATCCTTCGACGTGGAGAGTTGGATGGGGCGGCTGGCGCAAACGGAACCAGGCGTCATTCCGGATCGCCACTTGTTGCGCCCTTCTGCCACTGGGGCGCGTTGCCTTTGGATTGCACATCGGCTCACTTCACCAGAGCCCACGCATGCATTCGACTTAGTTGCTGTCAACGCAGTACAAAGGTACGCGAGGAGCCCGTACTCCTTTACGATAGCAGTGCTCATGATGAATGACCTTCTCAGCGGTTCGTTAGGGATGTGGCGGGACAGGACTTGGCAGGGCTCCCCAACATCTCGACGAAACACCTTTGCTGACCCGGGCTGCACTAATATTACACTTTTATGCATTTACTAACTATATTGAAATAACGCAGCACGCCGTCTCATCACGAGACACCGGGTGACTATAACCCGAGCGAGGCGGTTTAAAACACAGAAAGGAGGGGGAGGTAAATATTGCGGGTGGGGTGCCACTTGTGGGTGACGGGGAGATGGGGGGTCCAGATGGTTGTGGGGATCGATGGTCGGGGGTCAATGCAGGGGGTATTCGGGAAGCAGAGCCACTGTCTGTGCCGCACTGCGGGGGGTGAGGGCGAGCGCGGCTGGCGAGGGCGACGGCAGGGCTGCCGCCGGGTCGCCGTCGACAGTCTACGGCATCGGGGGCGCACACCTGGTTCAGCTGGTCGCTTACTCGGCGTACTCCTCCGCGAACTCCTCGGTGACCTCCTCAACCTCGTCCTCGTACTCTTCGTCGAGCTGCGCGGACTCGTACTGGTCGTACTCCTCGCAGAGGTCGGCCAGGTTGGACTCGGCCTCGGTGAACTCCATCTCGTCCATTCCCTCGCCTGTTTCGTCAGCTCTGACTTCAAAAATGCGCTCAACGAAGCGCCGTTGTAGCTACCTGTGTACCAATGAGTGTAGGCCTTGCGCTTACTGCGATTTCGTTAGCTATCCATGAAGAAGAAGTGTTTTGAGAAGAAGAAGAAGTGGATGAATGGTTGAAGGTGGAGGGTGGCACTTGATTTCGGTGGGAAAAAAAGGGGAGTGCCACATTTGCCCTGCCGATCCTCATGCAAGACAGGCGGTGTTTCAGATGGAAAATACTCACAAGAGCTGGCGGAACTGAACGTGCGAGCGCTTGAAGACCTCGGAGATAGCGGTGGTGTTGGCGACGAGGGTGGCGGACGCGGTCTGGCCGACGGGAGGGACGGTGCAGAGGGTAGTGAGGGCGCCGTTGGGGATCCAGGGGACGAAGTGGTCCGAGTTCTTGTTCTGGAAGTCGTAGATCGAGGACTCAATGTCGCGCATGGAGAGCTTGCCGCGGTAGGCGACCGAGACGGTGAGGTACTTGCCCATGGCGGGGTCGATGGCGGCAAGGAGCGAGCGGCGCTGGAAGAGGGCCGAGGTGAGGTCCGAGACGTTGGACGCGGTGTAGGCGCGGTTGCTGGTCGCGACGAGGGGGGCGTAACCGGCGGTGAAGAAGTGGAGACGCGGGAAGGGGACCATGTTGACCGCGAGCTTGCGGAGGTCCGAGTTGAGCACACCGGGGAAACGAAGGGTGGCTGCTGTCAGCTTCAGTATGCCTTGGAAAGCTTACAGGTGAATCCGGTCATGACCTTGGCGACGAGCTGGTTGAGGTCAGAGTACTCGGGGGCCTTGAGCTTGAGGTCGTTGACGCAGATGTTGTAGAGAGCCTCGTTGTCGATGCAGCAGGTGATATCCGAGTTCTCAACGAGGATGTGCGTGGAGAGGACAGCGTTGTAGGGCTCAACGACGGTCTCAGAGACCTTGGGCGAGGGGAAAACCGAGAAGGTAGCGAGCATACGGTCGGGGTACTCCTCGCGGATCTTGCTCAAGAGGAGGGCACCGAGACCGGAACCGGTACCGCCACCGAGAGCTGAGAGTTAGCGCAGGCCGACAAAACGCAACTCACAGTGGAGGAGCTGGAAGCCCTGGAACGAGTCGGTGTTCTCGACCTGCTGACGGAGGACGTCAAGGATGGGGTCGATAAGCTCGGCACCCTCAGTGTAGTAACCCATAGCCCAGTTGTTGGCGGCACCGTTCTGGCCGTGAACAAAGGTGTCGGGGCGGAAGAGGTTGGCGAGCGGGCCCTGGCGGACGAGGTCGACAACACCAGGCTCCAGGTCGACCTGGACCGAGCGGGGGACGAACTTGCGGTTGCTAGCCTCGCTGAAGTAGACATCGACTGGTCGTCAGCTGCTGACCAATACATCCCGTCCCATAGCTGCAACTCACCCTTGTCAAGCTGCTGGTCATCGTTGCCGACGTACTTGCCCTCGCCTGTCACCGTCAGTTCTGTGCTACCTGCTTCAACTGTTCGGGCCGTCCCCTGCGTTCGTCGAGGGTTCTCGCTGTGCCCCGGCGGTCAAGGCTCACTCACCGTTGAGGCCGTGCTCCTGTGGAATCGTCAGCTACATTCCTGCTTGGACAACGGCCAGCTGTGTGCTCACCTGGAGGATGTTCTCCCAGAAGGCGGTACCGATCTGGTTACCGGCTGATAAGTCAGTGACTGAGGTCTTTGTCTTGATGTGCGTGCGATCCGCCGCGGCTGAAGCTTACCCTGTCCGACTGTCTATGTCAGCTATCATCTCACTATGCCCAGGAAGCAGCTTACCGGAGACGTTGATGATTTCTCTGCCCATGGTGAGTGTAGTGTGCGGGGTGGCGGGGAGGATGGATGGAAGAAGTGGTAGGAGAGGGGTTGGAAGAAAGAAATGGGTGGGGGTGGTGTTGTTGCTACTACTGCGTTCGTCGCACTGCGTACGGAGCACGATCCGAGCCAGGCTCAAGCGCGCGCAAGGCGCTCGCTGATGCCTCCACGCGTTGTGTTCCGTTCTGTCCGGCAGTTAGGGCCTAGCGGAACCAGATTCGACGCGCCTCGTCGCGTCCTTTACACGTGGTCTTTTGCGCTCTGCGTAGAATTCAGTTCGTGTTGACATCATGCCGATGAGCCTGAATGCGCGATTTTTTTGCGGCACCTTACAAAAGTGGACTGTGCGTCCATCTCCATGCTTCCCATCGAGGTTCTCTGGTGCTCGAGGAATGGCTCACGACTGAACCTCGGTCGAGAGCATATTGATTCCAGCTGTAAAGCATGCAGACATGCTTAAACAACAAGCCTCTGGATCTTTGTGGCATCGCCAGCCGATAGGACTGGGGTTAAGCCCTCAGCCCTTAGTCATCGAATCTCGACATTGCGAGGTGTGGGCGGCTGTGCAAAGGGTGTGAGCGTCTCGGTGCGAGCGGGCTTTGCTTCTGAGAGAGGGGCGGAGTAGCCGGGTCGCCGGGCGCAGTGCATCGCACCAGCTTGTCGAGGTTGGGACATCGCATGCGTTTGGATAATTGTTTTCAAGCATCCGTCAGACAGAGCGAGCAAAATGAGGTGCTTGGAAAGTATCCATGGTTCGGCAAGATATATCTAAAATTGTCGGCCCCTTGGCCGATGCTCTAGCAGTTGAGATAAGCGGTGGGGAAGGGAATGGTGCCGTAGATGGACTTATCGACGCTGACCGCAAGCTCGCAGCCGATGCCTGCGAGGAGGCAGATAGTAGCATCTGGCGACCCCGACTCTCAGCACTGAGCATGCACGCGAGTGGCCCACCGCTCGCTTACACTGGAGTCTGCAGGCGACCTAACGCAATCTCACTCCGTGATGAGCTTGAACCGACCCATCCCTGATAATTCACTGAAGCTTTTCCTCATCTCACTTCACAGCTGTGCTCGCCGAGAGAAAGTGGGCTGGTGCTCGTTCCTCGATCCCTCAGTTCTGTCTCTGCGCCACAGTTGATTACCAGGGCGCCTGGACTCTTGTTCCATTCAAACGACCGCCGCCGAGGTGGCCGCTGTATCCTGGGGCGTGGCAACTGGGCGGCCGCAGAGTACAAGTGCAAGGTTTCGCGAGGGCTGAACCTTTGCGTGCACTCTTCGGGGTTGCATGCCCACCGCCCAGAGTCGGAGTGCAGCGTACAAGCGAGGAGCGACGGGGCAGTTTGTCGTTTTCCCGATGCATACAGGGACGGCAGAGGTACAGGGAGGGCGACAAAGGGACCGGGGGACCGGGGGTACGTCACCGCCCGTGTTTCTCGTGCGTCGCAATCTACAGTCCGGCGTAGCTCGATTACGGCACTACTGTAACTTGCACACACGACCGTGAATACAAGGTTCGCTAGTGTGCTCGAGTTTCGGGTCGGCCCAAAGGTGCCAAGATCTGCTGATCTGCGCTGCTCTTTGTTGTGTGCCGTGGCAATGCCACGGCTTCCAACGACATACAGCTCTTATACGAAAGTGTTCGGGGTACATGGGAGATGATCGTCGCTGCATGTGAAGCGTACCGTAAGCAACGTCACTAGGCACACTGCCAGGGAGCAAGGATGTGGGGTAGAGCAAAGCGGCGATTGGTGCATTGTGTGTAATGGAGGGGGTGTGAGAAGTTCACTGATAGTCGAGTCGGTCGATCGCATCGTACAGTGAGCAATCATGCAGGCATCGCGTCGGTCGGTGTTCGGGTCGTCCCAGACAACGGCACACGGCACGGTCCCTCCGATTCCCGGTTCCCACACCGCTCAAATATCTGCCAGAATGGTTGGCCGTGTTACGACGGGCGTGAGTCACTGCCAAGCTCCCTGGCGGAAGTAGCAGTAAGCTGGGGCCCGCATAGTGCGCAGCTCATTAGTAAGGTTTGTCAGGCTCCTGTCGATTCGACGATTTGTCCACTGGAGTGGGAATATTGGAGCGAGGTACATCCCGAGGCTGCCAGGATTTCGGACAGGCACTTGGACTTTTCGTCGGACTCTGAGCTTGGCCGAGGGCAAAGAGCGTATATGCGGCTCGGCGTAGGCATGCTGAGCAGTGCTCGCTCGGCACAAGGTCGTGCAGAGTAGGATGAACAAGAAAGTAGTGAAATCGCCCTCGTCGCCATATCGGGGCAACAGGACAGGGCCCACTCCCGTCACGATCGTTACGATACGGTGTTCACCGCCTTTTTCGCCGTTGCCCCTGTCGTGATCGATCAACTTTTCGGTCGTTTAGGATCCGAGCAGCGACATCCCTGCCTTTTCGCCTTTTGACGACATCCCTGCGATATCTCATTGTCAGCCATGCCTGGAGCGGCGGCACGCAGCGCGGCAATGTGCGGCAGTTCGGCAAGGAGCATGCCCCACACGTCTGGCCATGGCTGGCGCGGTTTGGGACGCCTCGCGTTATCGCGCCAGATGCTAGTGACAGGGCGAAAGCTGAGCACCGCCTGCGCTCGCCTGCCCATAAACGCATGTCGGGCTGAATGTATCAATTGAAGCAACGCCAAGAAACGACTAGCGGGGGGATGATGCACCGTGCGTCGAGGTGACTTGCTCGATACAATCAGACGAGACCTGGAATCGTCCGGCCTGTCTGTATGACTGCCAGGGTGAGATCGAGATACGCAGGTCTCGCGCGCAGCATTCAAACAGCGTATCGGCGCAAGGTCTGCACGCCTCAAACAGAAGACAATGTGTGAGCTGCAGAACTTTGGGTATGCCTCCCACAGCCAAGAGCGACAGCTAATGCTTGGCGTGCACGGCGCTGCTTGCGAGCCGAGTGTGCTTCAGCAAGGATGTGCACGAGAGCAAGAGAGCGGTTCCGGTCGGCAAGAGTGCGTGAGATGGGATGAGCGCCAGACGCCTGAAACTGGTCAAACTGGGCTCTCGGTGTCCCTCGCGTCCCTCAGGCCAGTTTTAGTCCCTGGACGTGTCGACGTCGGTCATTAAGCAGGAATCATCGCGACCTTGGCGACCCCGCCCGCCCGAACGTCGCCTCTCGACCGCCGCCTGCCCGTCGCCCGCCCGTCCCTGGGCCCTTGACTGCGCGCGGCGCTCAAACTGCCGTCTTTCCCCTTAACTCCCCTCCTGCATATCCTGCATAGCCTGCCTGTGTCTCGATGTCTCTTTCTCTCGCGTCGTGCCCAGCCAGAGAGAGCCTATATCGCTGTTCCTCACCCAGAGCCAGGCTGCCCTCCTCACCCAAACCCAAAGCATGCATACCTGCTCTTCCTGCCTTTGCCCTAACCCTCGCTTCCCAATTCCCCAGCCGCCGCAAGCCTCGTACGCCCGCCCGACTCTCCGCGGCCTCGCTCGCTGGAATACATCATCTCCTGCATCAGCACTCTCAGCACTCCGTACACTCTCTCACTCTCTCTCTTTGTTGTCCGTGACACCTAGACCTCTTCGCTTTCGCATTCCTTGTGGACTCGCCCTCGACGTCGACTTCGACGACGACCTCGACCCGTTCACGCTACCTTTACCCAGTCTGCTGACTGCCTCCACTTTCGTTCCTTGATTTCAAACTATCCCGATCGACTATTTCCGCCAGTCGGCTGTTTCCCGCGAGCTAACATGCGATCTACCATTGCGCTCGCTGCTGCGCTCGCGATGCCCATGATGGGCAGCGCCGTCGAGCTCAGCGACGACATGCTCAACAAGGTCTACGACCTCATGGGCTCCATGACCAAGCACACGTATGTATCAAGCGTAAACAAAGCTCTTGGCGCTTCCGGCGCCGATCCTTTGTCATCGACTACTTCCCAAAGTGAGCTCGCATCAAAGACGATGCGCGCTAGCTTAGGCTCTGACGTCGATTCTGTGGGGCTGCGTAGCTGACAATGTCACAGTTGGGAGAACGGCTCTCAGTCCGAGGCTGTTGTCGAGTGGAAGCACCCTCAATACTCTGTCTACCACCAGGGTGCGCTCCCGATCCCCGACGGTATCACGAAGGACGACGTCCCGGAAATTGTCCAGATCGCCAACTGGGCGCTCGCGCAGACTCCGAAGCCGTACACGCAGCAGAAGGACGCCGCTGCCCGTGCCGCGCAGAGCCAGGCTGCCACGAGCACCCAGGAGAACCAGGAGGGTGACAACCAGCAGCAGAAGCGCCAAGCCCAGACCTCGAGCGGATCTGCCGCTCAGACCTCTGCGCCCTCGACGACTCACTCCAGCGCTGCGCACCCTTCCCCCACGCCCAAGTGGCCCAGCTACCAGACCGTCCCCGCCAAGAACAACACCCAGCTTCCTGACGGTACCCCTATTGTCGACGATGCCGCGGCCGGTGACCCCGCCGCACTTGGCATGTCTGTCGTCCTTGCTGGCAAGGCGACTGGCGACGCCACGGTGAACAACACCAAGTACTCGGATGCCGCCCAGCGCCAGGTCGACTACCTCCTTTACCACGTCCCGCGTGCCCCGAACGGAGCCATCTCGCACCGTCGCGATGAGGTCCAGCTCTGGGCTGACAACGTCTACATGGTTCCTCCCTTCTTCGCTTACTACGGTGTTCAGACTGGCAACAAGACCCTTGTCGAGGAGTCGTACAACCAGATCAAGGCCTACCGCGACGCTCTCCGCCACCCGGACAACAACCTGTGGCAGCACATCATCTACAACGAGAAGATTGACGAGGGACTTTGGGGTACCGGCAACGCCTGGGCCGCTGCTGGTATCGTGCGTGTGATTGCTACGATCCAGCAGTCGCAGTTGAAGGATGAGATGAAGGATAAGATCAACGACCTGAAGAGCTGGGCCGACGAGATCATGAAGGCGACCAAGGACAACATGACTGGCAACCACATGATCCGCAACTACGTCAACAACGAGTCATCGTTTGAGGACTCGTGTGCCACCACTCTCATCGCTGCTACCGGTCTTCGCATGTCGACTCTCAACCTGACCGACGACTACGTCCCGACGTCGCTGCAGATGCTTGCCGCCGCGTCGAAGAACGTCAACGAGACCGGCTACCTCACGCACGTCACGAACCCCATGCTGTTCAAGGTTGAGGGCAGCTCTTCCCCCGAGGGCCAGACCTTCATCATCCTTGCGTACTCTGCGTACAAGGACTGGATTGCGCAGGGCAAGAAGGGCGTCGACAAGAAGCACAAGGACCACCCGCTCGACGACGACTCTTCCGCCCTCGCGACCAAGGCCGGTGTCGTCAGCACCCTCGCTGCCGTGGCGCTGTCGCTCTGGGCCGTGCTCTAAGCGCATAGAAGGCTGTTGCGTTCGAAGATGTCCGGACGCACGCCTGTCTCCTACTTCGATAGATATCAAACACCCCATCCTCATTACGAACAGTGGCTCTATCCTACTCATTCATCAACATCTAGGCGGCTGCGCCCGTCCTCACTACAGTTCATAGGTACCATACAATTCGCTGCGCGGCTGCCCCGGCGAACATAGATAATGCATTTGGAAGTTTACGTCTTGGCAGCTGGGACAATGCCATGCTGGGTGGCTTGGGTATGCATGTGGCCGCCAGGTCGCCAGGGTGCGAGTGATCGTCGCCCGAAATTTGGCTGGGCCGACTGGCAGGGCCTGCGTACGAAGTCCAGGCGGCCGGCGATTTCGCATGGCGATGACGTACTTGTCAGACCAGCGCCAACGGGCCTCCCTGCAACCATCCAGTTCCTCCGTTGCCTACGACCGAGTCTTCTCTCCACTCCTTCATCCATCAAACACACATCCACACTTACGCTTTCTCAAGGACAAGCATAGATAGCGCCCCATCTAACTCGAGAGCGCCAACCACCAACAACATCCCACTCCTTTCGTCTACTTCTTAGGACAGAAATCAACAGACCCGCGAACGTTCCTTCCCGTCCATCCACCCAACTATCACCGAGATGAAAACCGTCACCGTCTACGGCGCGACGTCCTACACTGGCAGCACGCATCTGCTGCCGTACCTCGACACAAACTATGCTGGACAGGTACACCTGATCATTGCGGGCCGCAACCGCTCAAAGCTCGATGCTCTCAACGCCTCCCTCTCCGCCATCAACGAGAAGCACCGCTCCGTCGCGGCGCTGAGCCTTGACGACCCCGCCGCCGTCAAGGCGCTCGTCGACAAGAGCGACGTTGTTATTAACCTTGCTGGTGAGTTGCTCCTTTTCCCGCTCCGTGTGTGCTGCGTCCAACCGGAGTTGTGGGGACTTCTTCGTGCGCCTTCTGTGCGCCCCATTGCGCCCCTCTGAAGTGCGCCCCTCTGCGTCTGTGGCGCCACAGTCCCCGCTCTCGCTGGCTCAACATGCCCATTTCGATGTCTTCTTTCTGGAGGCTCAAAAGTGATGCACACTGGGTTGATCGCGGGTGACGATTAAGCGGGCAGGAAGTGAAAGAGGCTAGTCTCATAGCGGCTTCCTAGTCCGCCCAATGCCGCGTGACCGACGGGCACGGGTAGATTGCCGCTTCTCCATCATGGGCTCTGACCTGTCATCCGTCCTTCACCGCAGACACGCGAGCGTGCATCTGTTAAAATACTGGAGCTACGTAGCTGACAACACAGGACCGTACGGATTATACAATGCCCTCGAGCTTATTGGTGCTTGCGCCAAGGCGGGCAAGCACTACCTCGACTTGAACGGAGATGTTGGCATGCTCGCGGCGGATGTCGTGCCTCGCTGGGACTTTGCCGCGAGCCAGACCGGCTCAGTCATCGTGCCGATGTGTGGCTTCGAGAGCGCTCCTGGGTAGGTATCACCTTCAAGCTTTTTCGTAGCGACGCTTGAGCTGACCCCAGTGACTTGATCGTGTACGAGGCTCTGCGGACGCTGCAGAACCACGTCGGCCGCAATGTCGGTATCGCGCACAGCACGACGTTCTACGACATTGTCGGCTCCGTTTCGGGCGGCACGATGGCCTCCGTCGAGGCTGGAATCCAGAGCGGCTCGGCTGCCGATGGTGCGCAGGAGGCCGCTCTCCTCGGCCAGGCGTCGCAGGTGCCCTCGCCCAAGGTGAAGCTCGTCTACGAGCCGCCCGTCCGCGTCGCCGGAGCACCCAAGTATGGCGCCTTCTTCATCCAGTACCTCCCCAACCGTGCCGTGCTCCGGCGGTCATGGCACCTCCTGCGCCTCCCGCCCTCGACGGTGAGCCACAAGTCGAACGGGCAGTTCTCGAACGACTCGGAGCCCCTGCCAGCGGACAAGGTGACGTTCGAGGAGGCGATGAGCGGCATGGGTGCGCGCAAGGTGACCTCGTGGATCGGCGCGTTCCTGACCTCGCTCGTCGTCATCGTCTTCGGCGCGCTCTACGTGAGCGCGGCGTGGTTCCGCCGCCTCGTCTCCCCTTGGGTGCCCAAGCCGGGCCAGGGCCCCACTCTCGAGGAGTGCGCCAAGGGCAGCACGCACCTCATCAACGTCTCTGTCGGCCACGACGGAACGGCCATCAAGACAGAGTACGTCGGCAAGGGCGACCCCGGATACAGCCACACGGCGATGTTGCTCGCCGAGAGCGCGCTGTCCCTCGCCCTCCCCGCGCCCAAGGGCACGAAGCTCCCGCCCCTCGCTGATGTTGGCGGCGTCCTCACCCCTGCCACCGCCTTTGGCGGTGTGGTCATTGAGCGCCTCCGCCTCGCCGGCGTCGCGGACATCAATGGCCAGATCGTCCAGCCTCTCCAGGGCACCCACGCCGAGGGAAAGAAGGACCTGTAGGCTGCGCCATCAGGTCGGAATGTCGGTTTAATGTTGGTCCCCTCTAGTCCTATGCATCGTGTATCAGTTTGCAGTTTGCGTCCCGCTTCGCATCGGCCAGGGTAATGATTACATTATGGTACACGTCTAACAGGAAAAAGCTGCTCTACTCGTCCACGGCCATCTTCTCGTCCACCTCGTCGTCGTCCTCCTCGTCCTCCCTCGGCTCCGGCTCGGATTCGGCAGCGAGGCTCCGTCTGCTCCGCGTCGTGAGACCCGTCGGCGTGCTCGGCGCATTCTTCCCCGAGAGGGGCACCTTGGGACTGGTCGGCTTCACCCTCTGGCTCTCCTTTTCCTTCTCCTTCTCGGCGTCCTTCTCCTTCTCCTCGTCTCCCGGCTTCGGCATCGCGTGCCGGGCATGCGTGTTCGAGGGCTTCTTCATGATCGCGTTGGGAAAGGCCGGGTTTGTGCTCGACGTCAGGGGCGGAAGCTCACCGTGGCCCTTGTTCACTGGCCCTTTTTCCTTCGGCTCGCCGTCCTCATCCTCTGAGTCTTCCTCCTCCTCCTCGGACGACTCGGCACCGGAGCCGGGCGCCTCGGACATCTTCTTCTTCTTCAGCTCGAGCGCCTCGGACATGCTCATCGGCTGAGGGATGACGTCTGATTGTTAGCTACACCTCAGCTGTGGAGCAGCTCGCGACTGCTGGTCGGGAAACCAAGAAACAGAGGGAGACACGCAGGCTCAGTGAGAAGATTGGTCGACATTTGGCCCCACCAGAGAGGCGGGGGGCCAGTCTGAGCGATTCTGATACTATAGCTTACATCCTTGCCCGCGTGTCCTCGGTCTCAGCCATGGAACCGTACTCACCACTGAGGAAGCCAAACTCGTCGCTGCGCGCAACGACGTTGGCCATGTCGCGGTAGTTTACTATACGCCGCTTCTCGAGACGCGCCTTCGTGTATCCCTCCTCCATGAAGTGCTTGATGAAGTACTCTGTCGCGACGCCGACGAGGAACACGGCCTCGGTCGTCATCATGTCCAGGTCCTTGTCGGCCTTGACAATCTTCTTCAGGCGCGCCATCGGGAAGATGGTCGTTCCGGGTTGCTTCTCGGCGAGAGACTGGCGCGACTTGATCACGCGCTTCTTCTTGGGCGCTGGGTGTCAGCTAGGTTCGATGTCGGCAAGCTGCATTCCCTCAGGAGGGAAGGCGGGTGGTTGCCGGCTTGAGAAGACGTACCTTCACCCTCGCCGCCGGCTGCGGGCTCAACGCCCTCGGCACCCTCGCCGTCGGAGTGGTGCGACTCCTCCTCGTGCCGCTGCTCCGCGTGCTCCGGAGGCTGCTCGTATTCGACCTCCATGGTGGATGTGTGGGTTGAGCGAGACGCGCCCTTGTTCGTCGCCAAACAGGACGCGCGCGTGAGGCGCGGAACCAAATTGGATATCTCTCCTGAACCGCGACGTCATGACCTCAGCTGGTTGTGGCACCGATCCTCCTCTTCCATTCCAACGTCCGAGAGACCCAAAATGCATAGTGATACAGTTGCAGTAAGCGGTGTAAGCTAGGGGAAGATATCTCCCGCGGCGTTGAAGCTCTCAAACTCCTTCCCGGCCACAATCCAGCCCTTGAACGGCGCCTCGCCCTCTGTCGTGCCGAACTTCTCGCCATTGCGGAGGAGCTTCTCCCAGCTTTCCGGCACTCCGGGAGCGATCTCTCCGCGCAGCTGAGCCTTGCGGACGCGATACGCCTCGTCCTTCAGATCGTAGTACGTCTTGGCAGCTGCTCTCTCGCTCTCCTCAGGAGAGATCTTTCCGAGTAACGACAGGTACGCCTGCAGCAGCTCGTACTTGCACAGCCGGGAGCGCATTTTGGGCTTGACGAGGGTCGTGCCGGGCGTCTTCCACGCCGAGCTCTGCACACAACCATCCACGAGCACCTCGTTCTTTCCCAGCGAAGGAACAGCGGAGAGACAGATCGGGCTGGTAGCGATAGTCTTGCCCTCTCCCTCGACGACTGATTTGGAGAGCTCAAAATCCTCGTTCGTCAGATGGACCTGAGGCTGATGTGTGCTGTCAAGGCGGCCAGAGAGAGCACGCTCTGCTTCGCGCACGATGCTGGGGCCATATGATGCCGCATCTGTGCCTTCTGGCGGCTCGACGCCTCCCACCACGATGTGGTCGAGATGTATCGGCGCAAAGAGGTTCGACAGTAGCCCGCCCTGCAAGCCGAGAGCGTTCCAGAGCGCAATCTTGTCCGAGCAGCTGAAGCTCACGCTAGCTTGCGAGTCGGCGCGTCCAGGTTTCGTCCGGATAGCGCCGTATGTCTCGTACCCCTTGCGACCGCGGACAGCACCTTCGCCCGTCCGCGTCAGCTCCGGGGCGGCCGCGAAAGCATCACGCATGGCGCTGTCCTGATGAAGCGCTGTGTGCAGTGTTGAGGCGTCGCCGCACTGTTGTCAGCTAATACACACCCCCATAGAACAGCACGTACCGGAAGAGCTGAAACGTATAGCCAGACTTCCACTCCTGGGGCTAAGGAGAATCGAGAACCATCCCAGACAAGGAAGGTGGAGGTGCCGTCATATGCGGACTCGGCTTCAGATAGCAACCAGCGCATGAATCCGCGGCGCGCAAGTACCTCTGCATGACTGTCGTGTAGCGTGTCGCCTAGGGGAGGCAGACGGGCAGCGGGAAGACACTTCACACCTGTTCCGAGGGCTATCGGCGTCACCTTCCTTTCCTTGCTGAGCGAAATCGAGGCGAGAATCGTCCATTCGGTGACGCCGTTGTCGCGCACGCGCGGCTTGCCGTGCGCCGGTAAGCTTGCGTAAAGCTGATGGGTGCTCTGCACTACCCCATCAATCTCTGCCTGAGATACCGGGCGTTTGACGTTATCGTGCTCAGTATCGGAATCGCCCAAGTCCGGCTCAACCATATTGCGGGTGGACGCCCAGGCGATGACGTACGGCGAGACCAGCCCTGCTATGAGACAATAGCCAGCGTCGAACCCGAACAAGGACAAGAAGAAGAACCCGGGAAACGTATAGCAGAGGAGGCGGTTGCTGAGCTCCAGTCGTCGTGCGTTGGGTGCGTTGGGTATGTTCGGCATGCTCTGTGTCGGCGGAGAGAGGGAGGTGACAACCTCCACCTTCTGGTGATCGATCGAAATGTCGAAAACAATGACGTGGGTGTGATATCGCCGCGGTATAAAAAGCTCAGGCTGGCCCAGCCCAGTCGCCACTGTTATCGACGGGACCAAAATCGCTGTTTGCTCTATTGCTCGCGCGCACACATTGGCTTGTTACGACAGCTGGATCGGACACCGACGACAACAAGGATCTGGCATCTGGCGCATCCAGCAGCAGAGACAGCATCATGTCCGCGCGCGCTTCGCCCGCCGGGTCGCCCGCGCCGCGCCCGCCCCCCATCAACCTCGAGGGCATCTACGCCAATATCCCGATCCTCATCAACCGCGTGCGCAATGGGCAGCTCAACGCGAACCAGATTCCGCCAGTGAGTTCATGGTGATGGTTGCAGGCTCAGATGCTGTCATCACTTTGTTACAGATCACCCTCACCCCATCTGTAGCGGCTGCTCAGCATCATCCGGTCCGAAGAGCTAACGCCCAGCTGCGTAACCTACTCGCGAACCATGCGAAGGACATCATCGTCTTCCACGCGCGCTTGGGCAAGCCGAATCCGCTGCTGAGCCTCCCGGACGTGCTGAATCCGACCAAGAAGGTCGGCAACAACGAGGCGATCACGACCGAGGCCCTCTTCCTCCAGTCGGTCGCGGCGGGCATGAACCAGGCGAAGAACATCCGCGCCGACCCCGCCTTCGTGACGGCCATGGCAGCGAAGCAAGCAGCGCTGAGGAATCAGCAGGTGCGCCCTCCTGCGCCGGCAGCTCAGCCTGCCGCACCCGCTGCTCAGCAACAACAGGCCGCCGCTGCGCAAG